TCACTGAAACTGAGTGCCACAGATGCAGGCAGGGCACGAGCAAGTGTGGCTTCATTAATTGTCATGGATTGTTCTGTTCCAGACTCCTGAGAATTTGGCTCTCACTCCATTGCAGAATGGAAAAGTCACAGTATTTTGGTTAGATAGCAATCTCAGAAAATAAGTCTGAGGCAGCAGATGACAAATTCTGGAGAATCAACACAGACACCAGTGAATAAAGTTAAAATTATTATAACTTCATAGTTCTCCAAATTGCCTTGCATCTGGGTTTTAGGGATTTTTTGCTAGCTCTTCTGTATGTCTCTACCTTCGCAGGATTCTTTCAGTGGAGTCAGGCAAGGATAGGGCATTGTACTTGCCGATGGGTAAATCAGAGTAACATGTAAGACAAGCATACTGTAGTCACTTCATGTGATTAAAATTAGGACCCTTCCATGTCAGAAGGGACAGTTTGGGCTTTCCCAAGGTCTGTGGCTCTTGAGGAGTTTGCAGCTAGACTCGTGCCAGATGCAGGAATTTTTGGAGGTCCTCTAGGCCAGCAGGCAGGAGTTTTGAAGCTCCAAGCCTGCCTCAAAGTTGTGTGTCGGAACGTGTCAGGGTTTTCCCCAAGCCCACAAAGCTAGGTTTCCCGTGTATGGAAACTGTGGGGTGGACCTACACTAGCAAAATCCTCCATAGAAATTCTGATGCTTTGGCATGGTTTGCCAACCCAGAGGTGTGCCTGCAGGAATCCTGGCCTTGGCATGACTGGACTCATAAGTGAATAGCAGGGAAAGGTGTGCATGTCCTAGTTCCATGGCAGATCTGCCAGTCAGCCCTGAAAGAAAAAAACTGCTATGGTCCCAGCACTGGAGCAGATATTAAATGAAGTGTTTTGGCACCAATGAACTAATAAAGGTGAGAGTTTCTTATCTAAAGCACTAGATAAGGATAAGGATTGAAATGGCATTGTTCCTTTTAAATTCATGTTCAAAAGATTGGTGTAGTCTCATTTCTATAGCATAAAAGAAAATAACGAAGTAATCCGATGCAGAAGGAAAATACTAAGATGGCAGTGAGTCTTAAAAAAAAAAAATAGTTAAGAATGTTAAGGGCTTTTGCACAGTTTATACTGATAAGGGGAATAACTGGCTCACATGGTTTTGGGTTTTAGCAACAATAACATGTTTTATCAGTGACTTCAAACATTTTTATTTATAAAAGTAGGACAGCGATTTCAGGAATGGAAGCAACTTTATTTCAATGTTATAGAAAAGTCAATGGTTTGGGCACTTTTCTGCAGCACAGATTTTCTTTTGGGGCAAACATTGATATGGACGGGAAAATGTGTTATATTCATTAGAAGAATAATTATAGAAAGAAGAGCCTTCTGTGGGAAAACAGTGTATCCAACAACTGCTGTTCTCTATGATTGCTTGAATAAGCATAGAGCTGTGTGTTTCAGGCACTGGAAGTGGACTGGGCCTGTATAAGAGCAAAGTTTCAAATAATTTCATTGTTGTGTGTCTCAGCTCTGCGATGAAGGCAAATTCCAACCGAATACTTTATCAGAACTCCATTGCTAATAAACACTTGCCAAATTAGCAGTGTTAAAAAACGGCTATTACAAAGTGGATTTCAACTGTTTTGCATTTTTTAAGCAAAAGTCCAAGTTTTAGCCAATTACAGATTATATAAAAGCCAAAAGAAGACATTCAGCAGTGTCTTAGGTTAACTTCTAATAGCAAAGTTAGCCTCTGTCTCAGCCCATAAAGGCTTTAATCACCATGAAGGCCAGCTGTTAATATGTCTAAATAATAATCCTCACAAAAATTTGACTATCTGCTGATGTAAATTACAAGGTGCCATTTTTAGTATTAAATTCTGATGGAGCTTACATTACACTAGGTGTACAGCATGCCATTATACAGTCCTTTTCTGTTTCAGACATTTTATGATGAGGGGAAAATGAACATTAGCAAGGTTTGTTAGTAGTAGTATATCTTTTGCTGTCTGACCCATTAATATTTCTACAACTGTCAAACATTTGAGGGTGAAAATGAGCACACATAGAGGCAGTTTCTTAGTGTTTTAATTTATTAATGTATCAAGCCATTAGAGGTTACTCTTAAAAAGATAACAAATCACTCCTCTAAAGTGGATGCAATTTACAAGCTTGTTGATTTTTTTAATACCAAGTTGCCTGTATTGTATGATTGATACAGATTGCTCCAAGCCCTAACAGCAGATGAAGTTTGAATGCTGAAATTCATATTGTGTAATGTGGTGGTTCCTAAGTAGTGATTTCACAGCTGTGCCAAAGAGTTAAACTAATATGCACAGAGAGTCATCACTTGCTGATGGCTTTCTATACAGCTGCCAAACAGTATTTCAAACAGGGGAGCTTCTTATTTTTCTTTCAAAACCTGCCTCTTTAACTCCTCTTTCCAAATTCTGTGCGTCCTGCACCTGCTTTAGAAGGCAAAGAAGCTCCTGGTATAGTCTTACTAGATAAAACTTTGGGTTTATTGTAAAAAGTTGAGGTGAGATGTTTAGCAAAGTATTATAAATCTTGATTACTCTGATTCCTTTCATTCCTCTCAGAATTTCATGTTAGCTTGGAACAATTTCTGAGCTCATTTAATGTAAGGGACATAGAACCAGGGGATGTTTCATTGAATCCCAGAGCTATGATGTCAAATCAAAGTGCAGTCCAAAGCAAGCATTTACTCTTGCTTTTCTGCAGCTATATGCCAGCTAAATCATAAATGTTACATATTTAAAACAAAAATGAAAATTTGATTTCCTAGCTGCATTACTCCATGGCTCTGGCATCATGTTTCTGTGATGGACTAATCAGAATGTTCTCTCTCATATCTTTGTGTAACAGGGACACCAGCATGCCTTATTGAGAGGAAGCTGTTTTCTTTACATTTCACACATAGTTGGCAGTGTTAATTTCGATAGGTTCTCATTTCTTTTTTTTTGCTGAGTGTCTTGTTATTCTCAGCAGAGCTGTTACTCAGCCAGTCACATCCTAGTCTCTACCAGCGCATGACTTCTTCCACTCCACACTTGATATTGTTTTAAAGCTCTGTGTCATATAATATTCTACTAACGATAATAAGTTGCCAGCTTCTTCCATTATCAATTCCACTAATATTGATACTGAACTTTAGTCTTAGCTCCTTATAGATTTTGGGGAAAGTTGGGACTTCTTTTTGGACATTAGCCAGAAGTTTTCTTGCGGTATGCAGCTGGTATAGTCCTAAGCAAAGTGCAACAGTTTGACTCAAAAGATGTGCATCAAACTCTGAATGACACTTTTAAGCCTTACCAGTGAAAAGATTAAATAATGTAATAATCTGGGGCTATTGAGTGCATTCTCATTCTAAAATAAGTGATTGAAGCTGACATTTACTGACATTAAAGTGCTTCCATCTTGCAATGACAACCTTAAGTTACTCTTGCTGAGTAAGACCCATCTAAAGAATCTTACCTATGCTTATGTAGAGACTTATCTAAACTCTAAGGTTATTTTCATACAACAGCAAAAAAAAACCCGAGCTTCTCTGTGATGTGTTTGTCTTAGTTTATTCTTTTGTTATCATATTTTGAACCATGACCAGCTGGAGCTTCATGTGAGAAAACTCATTATTTAGTTATATTTTTTGACAATCTAAATTGAGGTCATTGCGAGCTTGCTATGGCTCTCAGTATAGCCACAGGAAAGATTTCTGTGGTTATAGATTTGCTAGAGGCTTTCTTTGCTTTGAACTGTTAATGATGGATTCCAGATGAGAATGCAGATGAATGTGCAAGAATACTTCCTCATTTGCTCACCCCGTTCAACATGCCTGTATTTCTGTGGAGGCAAAGAGGTGAAGAGAAATATTATCCAATTGCTCATATCTACTGTCTCTATATGTTCTCAGTAATTATATCAAAATAGGTTTATGATACATCTGTCTTCTAGCTATTTGAAGAAGCATTTGATGGGTAATTTTTAGTCATTTCAGTTCAGTGATACTGTTAGAAGGTTAATAACTAGATCTTTATTAATTGGATTACACTACTGACTTTTAAAGTTACAATAGCTTGTGAGTGTATCTTCTTGATTCAAACTTACAAAAAAAAAAAAGCAAGATTAAATAGCAGGAAACCTTGTCCAGGAGAGTTTGGAAAGGAAACCATATGGCTTATTAATCTTCCATTATCCCCCTTCAGGCATGGAGATAGGTAATAAAATATGTCCTCACTCTTCTGTTTAATGCTGCTTCTGCTGCAACTCAGCTTGATTCCTGCTATTTGTCTGTTATGTTTGTACAAATGAATAGGCAGAAAGGGGGCAGAATAGGGGGAATGAGGAGAGCTGTGACTCTTTCCCAGCTGTTCACAGCCAGAGAAGTTGTTGGGTGCAGAGAACTGAAGTATTTTACTGTCAGAATGAGAAGGGAGAGTACCATGATGCTGGGGGGTCTCTGACTTGAAAAGAGATCACTTTTGACCCCCTTTTTGGGCATGATGCAGCCAAGTACCTCCCTTGAACACATATTGCAACAGTACCACCTGGTCTCTCAATTTGTCATTGCTTTGTTGCACCCTTACCCTGTCTGCCCATCTGTTCACATTTGTGATAGAAAACTACCTCATAACCCATGACTGATATGAGCTGTCCCTTTTTAAATTTAGAAATCACTCAGAACTCCCTTCTTGCCTTCATACTTGTTTTGGTATAATTTTGGTATATTATTTTGTAGAACAGATTGCATATTAACAGTCCTTAACCTCTTAAAACTATGTTTGACACCTTCTGCTTCTTTTGCTTTTCATGTGCTGTGTGATGGCTTGCTACAAGAATTTATGCTGATGAAAGTTACTCATATTTAAAAGTATGTCTAGATAACTGTTGCATTGGAGCTGGAGAGCTCTAAGTAAAACAGGGAAAATACTATCCAAAAGAAACTTGAGTTACTGCTAAATAAATAATCTAACATTCTTCTCATATGGTATTTTTTAAGGGTGAACCAGGTTTCATTGGTCCGCAAGGAGAACCTGGGTTGCCAGGGCTACCAGGAACAAAGGTAAGGGTAACTGGCAGCCATTACAGTTAATGCCAGCTTCAGATTCCTCATTATATAGCAGAGGCTAAGACTGTACTAATGGCAGACAATGTGAAAAGTCTTAGTTCATGGATCAGTGCTATGATATATGTCTTTGTACTGATCCCCTCAAGCAGTATGAAGGCAGATATTTTATCCACTCATAACTTAAGTTCACCTATTGCCTTTATTCATGTTAGCATTCCAAAGCTTGCTTGCTAAAGACACTGAATATGCATGACTGAAGAAAATATATAGATTTTTTAGATTTTTTTAATTTTTTTTTTTTTTTTAAGAAAAAGCTTGAAAGTATGTGCAGGTATTAGAACTTTGATACTACACACCAGACTATGAAAATACAGATCCACTAAACCTGTATTATTTAATTTCTTCCTGTGTTGTTTTGTTTAGTGACTGTATGACAGTTAGAATATTATGAATCCTAAAAATGGTCTCACCATTTGGAAATCTTTATTCCAGTCCTTTCAGAATAGGGAAAAAAAAAACAACCAAGCATTTCCATTTTGAAGCTGCCTTCTTTTACCCTCAAGAAGACTGTATTTACTCAGCAGAGAGTTCCCCAACCCACTACAAGTCACAGATCACCTTGAAATACTTTTCTTCTGATGGTTTGGTTTCCTTGGTTTGTACTGAGATGGTGGTGTCCTGAAGACTGCCTGGTACCCTGTGATATATGTATATCTGTTGCAATAGGGTGACAGAGGAGAGGCTGGTCCTGTTGGGAAGGGTGAGCGAGGTGAACCTGGAGTTCCTGGACCAAAGGTCAGTCTGATTTCACTTTGGAAATGTTTTGCTAGTTTAACAGCTATGAACACATCTTTTCCTGCTGAAAAATAGAGCAAACGCTTGGTGAGTGAGCTCTTAAATGAAAATGCTGTCAAATGCTCCAGTCCCGAAGACAACGGCAGTTTTGTGTTCACAGCTGTGGAGCTGCAGTCTGAATGAACTCTTATCTGGTCTACAAAGTAAAGACACTACCTACATACACTGTCATGGAGTTGGTCTAATTCATTCCAACTAAAGCCCTGACCTCCAGGTCCCTAACTTTCAGCACTGAAGTTTGAACTCTTTGACCAGCATACCTATTATGTAGCTACTGAATGCAGAGAAAATCCATTTTGCATGCTGTCTTCTAACTCTGTAAGAAAGATATCATTCTAACTACATTTTAGTATTTTCTTATTTTCCACTGTGTCAGTACCATCCCTTTCCTATCACATCTTGAAAATAATAAGGCAGATTCCGTGCTCCTTGGCACAGTTTAGTTATTTTGTATTCACCTGAACTGTTGGGAAAAGGAGTTGTGGTAACACTTTGTTTCCTTATTTTAGGATATTTATCTTCACTATCTTTTAGCTATAATTTTTCAGGAGTTATGGAATAACATCGGTAATTCCTGCAAGCCACTGTTAACGATGCCTACTCTACTAATGCCAATACTGCTTTTCCACTGGGAGAATGGAATCTGTGGCTTTTGAATGCTGGTGTTAAAGAATATGTTACTCTGGGTGCTATTAAATTCAGTGCCTTTACAGATTCATTACCTTGGTCATATAAAATGAAGTATTTCTGCTTGTTCATACTGTAGTTAGTTATTGCTAATTTCTTTTTCTCTTCATTTCCATTTCTGTATCAACTTTTCTCCTTGTCTGTCTTCCTACGAACAGGGAAAAACAGGTGAACCTGGATCTAGAGGCCCAAAAGGGTCAAAGGTTAGTAGTAAAGAAACTGTATTTAGTTGAGCAATTAACATAATGATTTTCAGGATAAATTTGTAATATTTCACAGAAACTTATCTCTCTAAAAGAACCCATAACAGTCTACAATGTTCTTTATAAGTCAAACCTTCTTTTAGCTGTAGCTATTAGTGTTAAAACCTGTGTATTTTAAACACTGTAATTCTAGTTCTTTTTCTGTTATAACATCTGTTCCACCCTGCTCTGGTTTTTATCATGCAGCTTGGTTTCTCTCTGTATAACTAATGTGGGTCAGTCCTCCCACATGCCAGGGGCCAACACTTGACTATGCCAGTGGGGATTTAATTGTTTTTCATAATAATTTTGTGGATCCACCCTTTGATGAGTTAGGAATCAGTGGTATTCCATGTACTGAGATATAATGGCCAGAAGTCTACATAGGCAAGACTTGTAGGCTACATTACTGGTTTATCTACTTTAAAGAAAAATAATTTGATTATATATATCTATCCATGCATCTGCCTCTATATAGATACAGTTGGTTCACATATATGTAGAGAAATAAGATATATGCTTTTCTATTACTTCATCCACTGTGCAAATACCGTGCTCAATAGTCTCTTTCATGTTATAATATGGAATCAAAGCAAAATGAAAATAGATTTGATTAGGCAGTTGTTGAGTCTGTGTCATAATAAAGATGACAAGATAATGTAGGCTGATAGGATACTGTTTGCAGTACTTGTAAGGTCCTTGAAGAGCAGTCCATTGACAGTGCTTAAGGATATGATTAAATAAGTGCCGCTTAAACTCATTCATTCTTATCAGAAATAAACACTGGAAAATTATGGAGCTGATGAGGGGATTAAAGCATCAGAGTGAGAGTAGAAGAGCCTCTTATTTGCCTGTGGTACCTGGGCACCAAATGCACCAAAAAGATAAATATACCCTCTTTAATCCCTTTTATACCAAAAAAGGAAATACAATTTTCATTTTACCTGCATGTCTTGAAAATCTGACCCACAGAAGTCAAGCTAGTGGTTGGGAACTCATTTTTTTAACAATTCTAATGGTACATTCCCTAGCTGCTGCCAAGGCAACACTGAAAGGAAAGCAGATGGCACAACCTTGATCATGTCCTGCCAGCAGCCTGCTCTCCATATTCCTTGGTTAGCCCCGTGAAAGTTTTCTATTTTCTGTTGCAGAAATTAATCATTCTTCCCCTAATCATTAATCAGAATTAATCATTCTTCCCTGACTTGTACTAAAATTTTATAGATTTCAACCGAAGCAAAAGTTGCAGTTCTTATCCATATTAATATTGAGTAATAGAAAAATGTAAGACCTTGCTATGAAAGTGACTGTGAAATGAAATGAATCATAGTCACTGGCCACTGGGTTATGAATGCATACATGTCTGAAATTCCCTCTATTGCTTGAAACATTTCTAATAGCTGGGAAAAAAAAAGGCTCTGTGCAAGATGGTAAAGATCTTAAGCCTGTCACAGTAAGGGAGTAAAGAAACTCTAATTCTGACAATGATGTTGTAAGTGTAGGGGAGGCAATGGCTCACAGAAGGGAAGTTCAGAAAGTTAGTGGAGTCACGATTGCAGGAAGAAAAGTTTTTACACTTTGAAACACACCTTTGAAGAAGTCGTTGAGTGTTTTCAGATTGAGTGATTTCATTTCTCTATTTTAAAGCTTTTGATAACAGCACTATTAAGAATAGGGAAGTTATACAAGTTATTTAATTGGTAATGTCTTTTATTGGTTCACTGGGATTTCTTATTCCAAATCAATACAGCACTCTAACAATTCACAGAGAAATAAATGCCACTACACAGATTTTGAAGTATTTATTCCTTTGATAAATCAAGATCCACATTTTGTTTCTGTTGAGAGGCCTTTTAACCTGTGTTATTTAAGGTAACTATATTTAAAACGGGAGAACTACATAATATATTGTCAAATGGCATTCCTGTCTTCAAATATAATTTTTACATAGGGTGATACAGGTGACAGAGGTGACACAGGATCTACAGGTCCACGGGTAAGTCTACTTCTCATTTCAGATGTTTTGTACTCTTAGATTCAGTCCATCTTATGAATTGAAACTGTAGCAGTAACTCCAGCTAAACCAGTGAACTTGGGCACTTGACTTTGACGAAATGTGTGATGCTAACTGGCCTTTAATATGAATAACAGCCCTTCCTACTATTTGAAGCAGTCTCCTATTCATAGTTCATGGCCAGGATGTTACATGCCAGATGTTCTGACTTTGTTCACAGCCAGTACAGAACTAGAATATAGGAACTGCTTAAATATTTGACCTCAGAGGTTTCATATATTTGCTTTCCCAGCAGAACAAGTCACTGAGTACTGACGTGTTTGTTTATATTTATATTTATCTTTCTTGTATTTTTTAGTAATTGCTTTCTTTGAGAACATTCTTCAGTTTAATGCTTACTTTTGTGGTTAGTAGTAATATATTTTAAGTACAACAAGATTCCAACACTGCACAATCAAGTCAAAGCATGTGTCAGTAGTTAAGCGTCTAGAATAGTCTTAGGTAGGTGTCTCAAAACTTTCATGGAAAATGTATTACAGGGACCACCTGGACAGAAGGGCGATCAAGGTGCAACAGAGATAATCGATTATAATGGCAATATCCATGAAGCACTGCAGGTATGCAAACATAACAAGGCTGGAGTGGTTTAGTCTGGTCTGGGAAAAAACGGTTTGACAGCATTATGTTTCTCTTTTGCGTAGACCTTGAAAACATTTTGTGTGCAAAGATTTGCTGGGTTTATTAACCAAGAATCTCTTTCTATATTTGGAAACCAGGTTTTCTGTTTGGTGTTAGACAAACTATTTCCTTGATATGAATTAGCTGAATGGATTAGTTTCATTTCCCCTGGAGAGTATTGACATCATCTAATGAGGATAAAGGTGATTCATTGCTGGCTGTGGCACTTAGGGCTGAATTCACACAATAAACCATATACACAGGGTCAACAGAAGTGTCTGCTTTTCAGTTCATGTAGTATAATATTGACATTTCTTTTTTTCCCTCCTTTTCTTCCTCCTCCTATAAAATGCAAAGAGCAGAATATTTGAGATTTGGAAACACGGTTCCATTAGCAAGCTGGGGATTCAATCAGCAACTTGAGTATGTTAAATAGGCCAAGGACCAGTCTTCCCACTTATTCATTTTCAGAAAACTTATTTTGACTGGTGTGCAAAGAAGTGTGGAGGATTAAAGCAGGGTTACAAAAAGAATGAATGAGTGTTTGGGTAAAAGCAAAGTTCCAAGGTGACATATGTCATTGCAGTCAAAGTGATTTACATTGCAGTACACTCAGATGCAAATTCTGTGCAGTATAACTCCGCCAAAGTGAATGGTTTGCTTATGTGCAACTCAAGACTGAATTTGGCTCATTGTGCATCTGATCATTTTCTCACTGAACTTTTTTCCTTGCAGTTACTTAGTGGAAGTGGATAGATGTCTGGCCAGTCGTTTGGTTTTCAAGACTCTTTTGAAATATAAAAAAACCTTCACTGCCTTTACTAAAATCTAAAAGCCTGTATGTCATTAAGGATAAGTCAGATCTTTCATTGTGAGTGGTGTCTATAGGGAAGTCTGCATAGGCATGTTGTGAGGCTCTGCATTATATCTGTCTCATTTGGTTTACTTTTAAGAGAATTCAAACACACAACTTGCAGTCTTTTAAATGACTCTCTGAGTTAGATGCCTAAAGCAGCCTGAAATTAATGTTGCACATTACCAGACACAGATTTACCAGTGGCTTTAACCCCTCTATGTCCTTTATTCTGTCTCTGTATCTTAACTCTGGCATCAATGTTACTTTCAAGGTTCCTTAGAAAACCTGCAGCACATAAGGAAGTCTTAAAAAGGGACTAAAGCCTATTGCAGTGGTTGAAATATATTAGGAGGCCCTTATCCCATTGTAAATCATTTCAGATGTCATCACCTTCTGATCCAGGGCAACAAATAATTGATATTAGTGGGAATGGCTGTGCATGGCTGGTGTAAGTAAGATTATATAGGATCAGTTGAAAATATCCTTGCCAAATCCAGCTCAGTCCTTTCAGATGGCAAGCACCCATTCCTAAGTTTCCTGGTGCCAAATTCTTAGGGGGTCTGAGATTTGCAGCTCTCTCTCCCATAGGAGCAAATGAGAACTTTCAGTGCCGAGCACTGAGCTGTGAACTTGCACAGAATTTGGCCTGCTGATTTAAGAAGTTTGCAAGATCTGGGCTGCCTGTCTGGGATTTTTTAGAATTTAGTAATAAATCATCAAGTAGCCTAGAAGCTTCAGAACAATTTAGTTGCTTTTCCCTGTGCCTCCTACTCAATCTCATGAGTCCATCGACAGTGAAAATTTCAATTGTAAAATTATCATCATTGCTGAAACAAGACCCCTGCTGAGCATACGTGGCTTTCACTGTGAGGGCCAGATACAAAATTTGTGTCTCTCCAGACCTGTTCTGCAGAATTTCCTAACGCAAAAGGCAGTAGCTACAAAAGTTAAATTTTGTAGGAATTATAGGCTCAGATATTCAGAGCTGAATAAGCTGCTGAAAATGAACCCACTACTGTGAAATGCAAACACTCATTTGGAATTGTTATTTTAGGTTTTCATGTCTAGATAAACTGAATTTCTCAGTATATTTAAAGTTATTGATTTATTTCTATTAATATGTTAAAATATAAAGGGCAAAGGGGCATCAATACATTAAAGCATGTGTTAGAGATTTCATCTTTTTGAAGTACTTTTTAGTGAGCAGGTTCCGGATTCTTGACCATAGTATGTATTGCCGCACTGGCATATGAAGATTGTTTCAAAGCTTAAAATGGAAGATTTACAAACGTTTGTTTGCACATAGGAAAGCAATTAGTAAAGCTAAATATTTCCTCTTCCATGTAGGCCAGTAGGTTCTTCACAGGCAATAGGAAAGCATGTGCAAGCAGCAGTATCTGGGGGCTTTACTCTGTTTAAAAATATAGACAAGCATTTTAATGACTTTTAAACACTTCTTCACTTGCTTTTAGAATATTCTTTGGCAAAAAAAACACGTGCAAGTCTGAGATATTTTACCTCCTTCCATGATGAAAATGTATTTTGTCTTTCGAAGCATTTAAAGCAGAATTGTAGTACATATAGCTGAGTTTGTGGGCCAGCAGTTTAGGATTCAGAACTTAATATTTTTGCATATCTGCATTTCTATATGAAAATCAATTTTATGTCACCTCTAGGAATTGCATTTATTAATTAAACATTGCTGCAAAGCCTGTGGAACACAGGGCTAGTCCTTTAATCAACTTAAGGCACCAACTCATCATGTTTTCCTAAAATGTTTTAAAAAAACCTTTTGAAATATTTTTGCTGTGATTTAGTCATCATTTATTTAATCTCTTAAATTGTGCAAGAATATGCAGTCCTCACCTGTGTAATATCCTGTTTCCCATATAAGCCAATCAGCTAGTAAAACAGTGAGAGTTAAAAATATTATGTTTTTCACTCTAATTTTTTTGAGGCATGGTGTCTCCTAGATGCAGCATAGGTTTTGTGGAGATGATAATTGTAGCAAGCAGAATAATTTATATCATTGTTCACTTCTGGTAATGGTGTCTTTTATTAATACATTTTGCCAACAGAGGATCGCCACCCTGACCGTCACGGTAATTCCTATTGCATTGCTTACTGCGTGTTGTAGAAATTCTCCTTTGTGTAACTGCACGTTCATATTTCTACCAGTTCAGGACATGCCTTCATTGGATGTCAGTCTGGTTCATCATCACATTTATTTATTTGTTTATTTTCTTGGTGTGTCCATAACAGGGAACTCATTGTTGAAAGCCATTCAACAATGGAACCAGTTCTGCTCCTGCTGAATTAATGGCAAAGCTTCAGTTCATTTAAGTAAGAGATTAGGAGAATACAGAACTCCATTATTTCTTTAGGTACACATCCTGGCATATAGCTGCTTTGGAATTTTTGGTGTATGTTCCCATCTCTGCGTGTCTACGTGGGCGTTGAGTGAAAACATGTAGCAGGATTTGAGTACTAAACAATTTTCTATTATCAACCTTATTTTCAGGGTAGAAAATCAGTTCTTTCAAATTCCCATCAAAGAAACTTTGGGATTTTTCATGTTAGATGCAAATCAATTATTTTCTGGAAAAAAAAAAAAAAAAATGGTGCCCAAGTATGAGGAGTTCCCTTGTCCCGTCTTATCAGATCTCTATTTCTAAGATAAATTTTCCAGCACCTGTTCCCAAAATGTAGGCATTTCTGAACACCCCAGTGCTTTTACCTCACCCAATTTCTGCCACTGTCTACAGCCGGAGGTAGAAATGAAAAAAGTAGTGATAACTTATTCCATGGGGATTTCACAAAGCATTGGTTATCCCTTAATGCACTTAGCACCTTTTAGTGGAATCCTCTTTGCAATCAGCTGGAGGTTTCTCGTGACCTGTGATTGGTTTGGATCAGGCTGTGAGGGCTGGCAAATATGGTCTTTTGGTCTCCCTGCCATTAAGACAAGCTTTGCCATTTTATCAATGGGAGCTGCAGGACTTTATTATAAAATATGAGCTGTACTGTTATTTTAACATTGTTTCTGTGGTACCCTTCTGATTGTTGAGAGTCATCAAGATTAACAACTTGTACATAACTGGTCTTGGTTACCCTTGTATTAAAAATCTAACCCATTTTGTTATGGTACCTATATTAACATTCAGCCAGTGTTTACATGGCAAGTCCTGCAGGTATTTATTTAGAAACTTAGACATTTGTATCTTCTGTTTAGGGGCCACCAGGACCACCAGGACCCCAAGGGCTACAAGGGCCAAAGGTGATCTTCCTTATTTTACCCATTTTATCTTAAAGATGGATGTATTTTTGGGGGAAGGGGGGGGGGGGTGTGTGTGTGTGTTACTGATATGGGCACACAAGTCCACAGAGCTTTCCTGTACAGAATACTTAACTGTAATTTTACCGAATATGGTACATTTCACACTTTGCGTCCTAGCCTTTTGAAATGTAGCTTTCAGAGTAGGTGCTTTGTTCAGTTTCCACACACAGCTGAGAACCAGCAAAATTAATGAGTATTAAACAGGGCAGAAACATCTCCCCAATGGCTGTGTACTTAGGCTGTTACCTAGGACTTTGCAAAGTAGCTGCCCAATCAGGCAGTGGCTCAGGCACTGTGTCTGGCTGGGTGAGAGTGAGGTAGGCAAAACTGTGTGGCAGGCATCACTGGCCACAGTATGAGTGCATGTGAATGCAGCTTTTATATTACAGTGGTGCCCACCCAAATAAACATGGTATTTTCTAATGTCAGGAAAAATGAAAACGTGCACATATGGGCAGGAGCCTGGCTGCAAACCCAGGCTTGCTAATCCTACCTGGCTGGTGCTATGCGTAGTACCAGAAGTGTTACTGAGCAGCCCACACAGAGACGATGAATACCATATGCCACGCTGTTCTATAAAATTTAAATAATAAATTTGCCTATAATAATAATAAAAAAGTCTTGCAGTTAGTGGACCCTAATATTAACTAAGGGACTAGTTAATATAATTCTCCCACTTCATAAGTACTAAATGTAGCTTATCTTCTGTCAGTGACTCTAAACTTTTCCAAGAGTAAATACATGTTTCTTCAATAACAATACCAGACATTTCAATTTTAAGCTTCATCCACGGTATCATATGGAAATACATCACATTATACTGCTAATTGTTTTGAGAAATTGTGACAAACTAGGTTTATTCTTCTACATGAAAACCAGTAATGGAATACACAGTTATGTATGCAGAAATGGCTTTCTGCATTAGGATCTACCCCAGCATTTCTGCAGCCTGCAGTATGTTGTAAAACACAGAGGAGCTGGAGTGTGGAAGCAGTTGTGTTCTTTCATATGCCTGAGCATTCTCATTCAAAATTAATGAAGGGGAATCCAACCTTTCCAGGAGTTTGTTTCCACTGTTGTAGTCTCTAGCCATCAATGTAACTTGTTTCCTTGGACAATTCTATCCAGGAACCTGTCACAGGGCAATGTTGTGAATGTGAATTCCTTCACTGGATGGTCTATATTAGCCCAGGAAAGAGAACATGAAGTCTCCATCTATCCTACATATTTCAAGAGGCATGATTCTGTATTTATTCCAGTAACTAACAAAGTTTCCATTGGATTGAGGTTTTTTTTCACCAAGCTTCTGGGGTTTCTTCTTTTTCCTTTCTTTTATGCACTTGTCTGACCTCTGTACAGCCCAAAGTTTGCACCATGGCCTAATAGTCGGGGCTATTTATTCAATATGTTGCATTATGTATATATAATGCATAATATATATATACATTCTGTTCTTTTTTGACAGAATATTCTCGGAGTTTGTTGTTGTTCTTAGTTAAGCAATTTCCCTCTTTCCTCTAATGTCTGGGACAATTGGAATAATCCAATTCTATCTTGTCTTTTGCAGGGTGAACCAGGATCCCCAGGAGCTCCAGGAGTTGATGGCGAGCAAGTACGTTATGTGCAAATCATATAGCAAAGGTCATGTCAGCAACATAGGTTATTTCAGGATCTTATTTCTGTGGTCCCAAATTGTATCTTAGATTTTATAATCTAAATAATAATACAATTGTAGTAATTAATAAAGGTCATTATTATGTTGCTGCATACTCTGCAGTCTAATAATGGCTGCATTACTACATATTGATAACAAAGGTCAATCCACAGAATGACTTATTCTTTTTATTAGGATCAAAGCTAGAATTCTGTTGATGTCTCAGGTTTTTCACGTATTACTTGCTCAATAAATATATATTTTAGGGTCCTAAAGGCTCAAAAGGCGATACAGGTGATCCTGGAATATCTGGAGAAAAGGGAGGAATTGGACTGCCTGGCCTGCCAGTGAGTATGAAAAATTAATTAATTTTACCTAAAATACTTGTATTTTTTCTCTCTTCCATTATCAGGAATTTCCAACAGTGCTGATAAATTGCATACGGCACAGAAAGCACTGCGGAGGAAAATTCTGAGGTTGCTCTGCAGCTAATCTAGGAGAAGGTGTAAATTGCCAGAACTTTCCATTCCACTTAGAGTCAAACAAAATATTGCTCTGGGAAAAGAGAGATTAGTTGGCATGCTGATCAGATCTGTACCTCTCTTATAGCATATAGCACAATTTGGGCAAGCATAGCTTGTAGGAGAAAGAAGCTATGTTTTGAACACTTGTCAGAAATTTCAAATTATTCAGGTTGAAAAGGGAGAGAAAAAGCATCAGTATGTATGGGATGCATTCTTCCTATTCCTATACATATATTTATGTATAAATTAAGTTTCTCAGTAAAAAATAGTAACAATTACAAAAATGCATCCATAGTAAAATATATCATGAATGGAGTGCCAGCTTAAGGACTTATCATAAACATAATGCCCCAACTGACAATATAAAGCATACTTTTACATTTATTAAGTTATTAATGAAGTAACACCAAAGTTTTTTTAAATGTAATTTCATTATGTGTGCTGTATTATTCTTTTTACAAATTATAATTATTTGCAAATAAATATTATAATTTCTAGTTTGATTGCTAATAAGATTAAAACTGCTTATAAATGCTGTTTTGTAATGATTTTGTAGGGAGCCAATGGTATGAAGGGCGAAAAAGGAGATGTTGGTTTGCCTGGTGCCCAGGGTCCTTCAGTAAGTCTTAGTGTGGTGTTCAGTGAACATAATAATCCAGCAATGGCTCTCCAGCTTTTGATTCTGAACAATGCTTCATTTTCATGACTGATTTTTCCTGACATCCTTGATGGTACCTACACTTAAAATTTAAAAATATTTTTCTTCTTTGAATAATTATTTGCTCTTTTGAAAATTAACAGACTTCTGGTCATAGCGCTAAATACCATTTAAGAAATTCTAAAGACATAATCCTGTTCTGTTCTATTCTCCCATTATGAACAGCAGTCCCGATCACTTCAGTAAAAGCCTTCTGGCTCTGTAATGAATCAAAAGATAAATGCTTTGCAAAGTAAAATAGAGAGATAAAACTGATGAAAAAACACCAAAGCACCAGATTTCTCTCAACACCTTGTATTCTGGGGTCCTCATAAAGTCCACTGAGAACCAGACTAGACCAATTTCAATGATGTCAGTAAGAGTGGCAGAGACTGGTTTTATAAGACCAGACATTCTCCTGATTTTTCAAAGCACTGTAAAAGCATTAGAAAAGCAAACAAACAAACACCTAAAAAAAGCTCCCTAGACAATACCTTTATGATATGGGTGATTAATATTATGAGAGCACAGCAAGCCAGGAAACCTCAGAGCAGAAGTTAGCTACCACTGCCTTGTCAGTGGTGCCATGCTCTGTGTATTTGGAGCCATAGCTCTGGGGAGGCTAAGCTTTGCTATCGCAGGAAATACTAGGCACCCAGTATCTCCGAGTCTCTTTCTCTGAAACTAAAATTAATTTGTTCCAGATTTTTTCAGTTTTTAGTTGAAACAAGGTTTTCAGTTTTCAGGAGTTTTCACAGATGGTGAAATATCTGTCTTAGGTTTCAAAGATCACTTTTTTGCCTCTATGGCCATCACCAACAGCTAGTGTAGCAGAGGGGTTGCACATAAGTCTGAGACATCAGCATCCCTGCTGCATGTTGCAGGTTACAATAACAGCCCTGCAGGATTAAACCCAGGAAGAGAGGTAATATCAAACTATATATCATCATAGAATTGTCTTCCATGGATTTGTTACAAACACAGAAAACCAGCACAGAATATGCATGTACTAAATGCTGAGCAATCTGACTACCTATTTTAATGACTTCAGGGAATTCTTGGTACAAGTGGACTAAATGAAATAAAATGAGAGACAAAGGGAATGTACAAAACCCTGGCTTGAATTTAGTATCTTTTCCATTCATCAGTACTGGGGAGGAATAAAATCACACATCATCTTCTGTTTCTGTACAAAGACAACTAAATAGCACATACTATAAAATATTAAAAGTTTAAGCATCCCTGCTCACTACTGTTTGTTTTAGTGAGGGTTTTTTAACCCATTGTGTCTTAAAGTGTATCTTAGAGCCTAGGAGTAAGAATCAGGAGACAGGCATGCTGCCAAATACCACAGGTAATTCTGCACTTCAGATATCCTGTCTTCTGAATCAAAAGTAATTCCCATTTGTAACCCCCTTTCTAGATATGCTGTCAATGTGCACCATTGCATTGTTATGTTTGTAAGAGCGTGCCAACCGAGGAAGTATCAGTCTGATTTTTGGTATTTGTGAGGGAGGTCTTTACTTTGCATGATCTAATGCCATTGTTTTTTATCTGTAGATGATAGGACCACCGGGACCACCAGGGCCACATGGTCCTCCAGGCCCCATGGTAAGCTTGAGAGGAAGAGCTCTCTTGTCCTTTTAATACTTGATTAGTAAAGTGCTAGGAGAGTTTGTGACCACTACAGAAGGACCTAACTTAGGACCTTTTCTGCATGTCTTAAAATTCATAGGAACTAGAGAAACAAACTGCAGCTGCCTATGTTAGTGTTAATACACTAGTGGTCTTGTGCATTCTATGAATCACATGTTTGCAGTTGCTTTATTAACAGCTGCATTTCATTTGTGAGGACAAAAATACAGGTGCAGCTTGCACCCCTGTAAAGCAACAAACTCTTAAAAATTTGTGGCATATTTTCATAATGAAATAAATATCTTTATTTCCAGGGACCTCATGGACTGCCTGGCCCAAAGGTAAATCAATGGCTGCCTTGAATAGCCATGTTCTTAACGTCTGCAAAGTGTCATGTTTTGTTCTTTAACTCATGCAGCTATGTTTTGTCTTATGTCTCATTCAATAAATGTTCCTGATATTCTTAAACCTTAAAGCAAATTTTAATATTAAGATAGCTTAAAAGCTCTTAAAATTTTCCATGATTGTTTCTGTGTAGTAATTCTCCTAGGCAGTGGCCATTTTTTGCATTAGTATTTGAAATGTGGCACTGAGTTAATGTAATCCTATTTATGGGCAAGCTACCATTGCGTTGCAACTGGAATTACTTTTGAACATAGAAGTATGTTGCACACTCAGGAAATGGAGTCAGATAAGCTCTTCATTATTTATATTCTTTCACATCTCCTGCTTCTTTCAGTATGAGTGGCCTTTCACCTTCCCAGGGGCCATGTACTTGCTGACCAGTTCCTTCACACATTACGCAAGCTCACCATTACAAACTCATGTGTGTATTTTCATGTTTTCCAACCTAGAATCCCTGATCAGGCAGGTCTGCAATGCAATTCAAACTTTTTCCACAGTACACTACCTGGAGATACACTGTAGGGACTCTAAGCCCATGAAAACAGATCAGGAGGGTAGCAGGTTTTGGCAAAGTTGGAATATTTTAATTTGTACTGTAATTCCGTAAGCACAAGTAAACTAAAATCCAGTGTGACACTATAGCCTAGCATTCACCTGGGGGCAGTGGTGTTCTCAGGCATGATCGTTTTAATTCACTGTGGCTCCTTTATCAAATGCATCTTTCTCAAAAAAGTAAGTAAGAGGAGGAGGGTGTTTTTGGTTTAGGATTTGGATTTTGTTTGGGTTTTTCAAGTGCAAGACAGAAACTCACAGGTTTGACTCCACATGAGACTGTTTGTGTTACCTTGGCGTAAGAAGCCTGAGTCATGAATCATTTTTTGACATCAGGTCTGTTCCATCTTAGCACCAGCCCTGCCTTACCTCAGACTTTTGGCCTAAGACTCAGGCTTTTGTGAGATTTCCAGGTCTGTTTCCAAAACTTCAGCATTTTCAGTGCTACTGCTCTAAAAGTCACATTGTGTTGAATAGAAAAAAGCAGAAATGGCTACTTAGGCAGGGTGCAAAGCAGGCAGGCAATATCTGGAGTTACTTAAAGCAGCAGACTTGATTCTACTGAGATTTCTTTCTTTTCTTTTTAATATGAATATGATATAAGGTAACATAATACATCAAAGGGAAATGTGGGAACAAGGCCATGGGGAGCAGTCTGGATGAAATACCCACATATTTCTGTTCCCCAAAAGAAGCACATGTGGTCAGTATTCTTTTTGACCGGGCAGCTCTCATGCTAGCATAGTGTTTCATGATGCAAGAATAATTTACTGGCAGCTCCAGGCCCACCATTATCCTCTTAGTGATGTTTAATGTAATAGGCTATGCAAAGTCTAACAATCACAACAAGTGCCATATTTTATGTGTTTTTAAACTTCTCTGTATGAACACAGAAACTATGGATCTCCTGGATCGCTTGGCATTGTATAACCTATACTGATTATTTAAACTTGTTACTGTTTAATTATTTGTGCTTAAAGGTTTAAAATAACTTTATGTAAGATTTTGTTGCAAATTCCAGTTTGCTGTAGGAAAAAAATATTGCTTCCTTACAAAATCTACTTTTCAGGAGATCCCGCTATAGAAACCTGCAGGTTTGAGACATATTTTTCTGAAAGTTTTCTTTCAGTTTGATTTGTCTGCATTGGAATTTGAGGAAATTCCAAAAACCCCTAAAACTCACACTTAAATCAAACCATCTAACTGTAGTGATAATTATTAGGGGAAAAAAAAAAAAACAAAAGAATCAGTTACTCATAAATTCCCTGTAGCTTTTTTTCATGCAGATTTTTAATCTCCAGCAGATGCCTCCCAAGTGCTTTTGCTCAGTATTGTATCAGTATGTAAATTGACAGTAAGCTGAGAAGGCTGAATTTGTGTCCTTGTTTCAAACTGGAATATGCAACCTTTTCTGAGACTGGCTTCTTTTATCCAAGCTTAAGCACCCATTATAGCACCAAAAATATGGCATTTATACTTTTACGTTTAGGGTGAACCAGGGTTAAATGGTCTTAAAGGATTGAAGGGTGAACCAGGTCAAAAGGGTGACAGAGGGCCCCTTGGTCTTCCAGTAAGTAAAAATCCCCAACTACTCAATCTCAGTGCAAATAACAAACTTCTCTTTCTACTCCTGATGAACAACTCTGATTTACTCCACAGTATATACAGAATATACCATGTTTGAGCAGAGCATGTCTTGTTTTGTTTTAGCCCAGATGTGTGCTATCGTCCATAGTAATGTCCTGTCACACCCAGTGCTGTCAGGGTTTTTTTGTTATGTGTCAGTTGAATGTGTTCAGTGTCACAGGGATGCTATCACCACCATTACATCAGCCATGTTGTTATTTGAGTGTTGTATGGTGTTTGTGTTAAAAAAGGAATCTTCCCTTTTACCCCATCTCTCCAGTTATTCATCCACTGATTGTACTTCTGCAGTTAAAATGGAGAAGTCTAACTGAGGAAAGTTAAAAATTGGTTCAGGGATATTCTGTTTATTTACTTTCCTCATTCACTAGAGATGGTGGATTGTTACTCTTGCATTGTTCTTTAGAAAATTTCCATTCTGAGTGTTTGGCATAAATTTTGTATTACAAAGAAATGAAGGACCTTAAAAATAAATTTTCATGTTTCATGTTCACATTATGATTCTTAAAACTTAGGTTGACAAAAGAGAAAAGAGTTTGTGTGTTTTAAAGCACTCTGGAAAGTTAGTTGTTGGGTTTTTTTCCCCACAGAAAGAGTTCAGTTTTCCTTTTAGGATTACTCCGTGCGATTACATTCTTAATAACAAAGCAGAGGAAAAAGACTTAGTTGACCCAAAGGAACGCAAACCCCTCTGATTAATATTTTCAAGAATTATGTACAGAGTCCCTGGTCAAGGTCAGCTTCACTGAGAATTTTAAGGGGGGGGGGGGGGGAAGAAAATCATTTGCCAGTTACCAGTTACCGTTATGTAGAGAGGCAGCTGTGCAGGTCTGAGACAACCCCCTGAAAATAACTAAAAGGAAGAAGGAAGTTTCAGTTCTGCCAGAAATGTGTTTTCTAACCCAGAGCAAACTATTCTATTATTTTTTCAAATTTTCATATTCTTGTCTTGCTCCTGCTTACCACTTTTTCTAATCATCATTTTAGAGAGCAAAGTGTTTGACTTCCTAAAACCGGCTCATTTTATCTGTTAATGAGTTGGGGTGGCAGTTGGTTTCTTTTTAACTTTGGAGATTTGGGGGGGCTTAGGGGTTGGAGTTTTTGGGCCCAGATTATTTCTGAAGTCCCAAATAGTTTTGGTCCCTCTAGTCCCAGCATTACTGCCAGCAGGCTGGGATGGTCGAGCAGGTCCTTCGCTGCTCTTCTGTTATTCGCATAAAATCCAGCAGAGGTCATCCCGTCCCCAAGGATGCTGAAGCAAATAGCCCGAAGTGCCTGGTGCTGCCCACTTGCAGCCTCTGCGTGTGCTCTGAGCTGGGAGCACATTGGGAAAACAGGAAATGTGATTGTCTCCCGGGATCTTGGAAATGAATGAGGCCATTGTAATCAGGATCCAGATTTTTTTTTTTGCTGCATAATGCAATATTCTTGCACTTAAATATTTCCTATCACGGTTAGCATATATTTTTCTTTCTTTGTGTAGTATAGTATTCAATTTTGTCGTTATTTACAAATTAGAAGGCATGCAAGTAAAGTACAAGGTAAATATTTGCAGGTTAAGGCTCAGAAACACCCTAACATCTGGTGTTTGTAGCACTCCTATAGCTTGACATTATTCTGGTCTAATGTACTGTGACATGACGGCAAGGGTGGGTCAGAGATGTTACGCTGATGTGAGAATAGAATCAGGCTCTTGATGTCTTATGTGAATTTTTAACTAACATGCTGTAGTAATGTGATACCCATTTCAAAACCCTGTCACAACTTGTACTGTACGTTTGAATTATGTTTATTCATCAGCACCACTTACTAATCTCACGTTCTTGTCATTCGTGTTGTATCCATCATCCATGCTTCCACCTAACTACACAGGGAGCATCTGGCTTAGACGGAAAGCCAGGACCCCGGGTGAGTCCCTTGTCTTTCTGTGTCGCTCTTCATTACAGAGCCTATGTTCTGTCCAGCGCTTCACACACTGCATAGAGGAAGGAAGGCCAAATGCCGCAGGCATTTTTCATGGTGCATAAGAGGGGACTTTGAGCAAACTCTTGGAGTGATACAAGTGAGAAGGAGAATGTCACCCTCTGTAGAAGGAGTTCTGAATCTTAAAAAGGCAGTTTGGTTTTGATTTTTGGTTGGACAGCTGCCTTGGTTGGGGTGCTTATTTTGCTGAGTAAGGTTAGGGATCAGTTTACACAGGAAAACATACTTGTTCAATGCTAATATGGAATCAGCGAAACAGATGCAGACATTCTGTGGCTGGGGTTCTGCCACAGGCACTTTCACATTAAACATAAACATTAAGTCATTTGCTTTTAATAATGATAAAGAAATGGATAAAGTGAAAGAGGGATGGAGTTACACATTTGAAGGCTTCTATAAGATTCCTATTGATGAGTGCAACAGGTAGGTCCACCATACAGCTAGACATTTTCATTTAAAAAATAATCTGTATTAAAACAAAACAAACCAAAGCAAACCCGTAACTTTGGCCCTTCCAATTTTCCTGGGAAAATTTTTCAATAAATTTAAAATCTTTGTAAATCTGGTGACTTCCATGAATAAAGGAAAATCCAACTAGAAAAAAAGATGGGTTACCTTATAGCCAGAGAGCTTATAGATGGAGTTTTGGAAGACAAATGGATTTGTTTGCCCATGTCCCATCAGAGTTCAGTCTGAATTTTCTACTGGTGAAGACTGATTCCATGTTAGTTCTTGGCTAGAAGACAGTTATTAAAATTATGGACTTGTAAGAACAAGACCTCTCTTTTAACCTCTGTTTCCTTTTGTAGGGTGTAGATGGCCCAGTTGGTCCCCATGGCCCCGCAGGTCCTAAAGGAGAGAGAGTAAGTATTTGTTCTATGTGCTTCTCTTTACAAAGCAACCGCTGCCATGGCAAAATGTCATATGGCTGCTTACAGTGTGCCAGGATGTTGTTAAATATAACTGTATCTCCTCTGTTTAAGGATCAGCCCAGAACTGTATGTGCATTCTAGTTACACACATTTATCTGTTTAAAGGTTGATTTTGTAACTCATGAACTTCAGAGAAGCTGCTATTTTGTAATGATTAATCCATAAGAAACTTACAGGACTTTCAAGTTCACAGTGGTACACAGAACATCATTTTGCTTGGTTTCATTGTGTAGTGTAAGTGGTTTGAGAGGACAAACTGAGACAAAAGAGATAGTGTGATCTGATTATATCCGTATGAAATGGCAAAAAAAAAAAAAATTCCCAATTTGTACTTAAATATTTTTATCTTAAAAAAATGATTTAAACTTTTCTCCCTCTCCCCTCCCTTTCTTTCTTAGGCTTAGAAGATAGGAGCCCTCCTATTTCACTTGAAATATTCACAGTAATTTTTCATCAGTGTAATAGGATAAGGACCTTAATCTTTAACTGTGAGCCTGTCATCTTTAACAATACAACCATCAACTTGTACAACAAAACAAAAGATGATACCTTATACTGACTAAATCCTCCAAGGAGTTGACAGCCTAGAATTATGTCTCTTTGAATTTCTCACTTAACAAAACAGCTGTGATAAAACAACTTCAGATTGATATATTAAGGAGGCAGCCATATGGCACAGGTCCAGTTAGCTTTAATAGCAGTACACCTGAGAAAGGTATGCATGACTTGATGATTCATTTTTAAAGAGCTCTGTGTTGAGAAATATATACAAGACATGCAACATAGTCCAAAATAGGACCAGTAGCCTATAGTCACAACTCAGGCTAGTTAACAGTCTGAAGGTCTTAGGTAAGTCTTTTTTTCAACCAGGACATAACTTTTTCTTCTATCAACTCTGTGAAGATAAAGTTGAACATCATCTTCTGAACTTTGGGAAATAATTTTGATGGAGAAGCATATATAAATACTGTACTTTTATCCTTGGATCATAAGCTTTTGTCTTGAAGGATATGCGTACGTACTACCAGTTGAAATTTATTTCAGAAACAATGTGCTGTAATATAAGCTATTCTTCTAATGTATGGAAGAGAGCTATAGTTGTGTTTTCCTTATGAAAGTATCCAAGGTTATAATAAGTCATACACCTGGATCTCGAATCAGCCCTACCATGGCTGTTGACAAGTAGTAATTACAAAGGGGAGAGGAGCTGCAGCGATGTAAATTTCTTCAATAACTGCACAGAGCACAGAGGGTCAGATCTGCAAAACTATGGAAACTAAAGTGTGCAAAAAAATCCTGCTGACCCAGCATTTTCTGTGTAGCTAAATGAATGGGAGGAAGTTCACAAGAAAGATGGAAGGGGTTTTTAACAAGCAACCAACTAGCAAGTTTATTGCTGTAATTGTTCATTTAATTATTCAATACTGTTTGGGAAGAGAAGTTGTTTGTAGAATCATTACCTAGCAGGTGCCTGGCATTGATATATGTCTCATTATCTAAATAACAAATCATGTGCGTTTAATGCAGGTTTACACCTGCAACTTTTGAATGTGAAACGGAAAAAAAATTTGCCTGCAGATTTCAGAAACTGCCTTTTAATTAAAAATTAAAAGCCACTGCTTACTATCACTGGACAGGATCACATTTTGTCCATGCTGATAAGAAAAACCTTGGGCCAATATTAACTTAGAAGGGCACTAGGGATTTCTAATATGAAACATAACCACATTCTTAAATCCACATTATTTAATGTTTGGAAAGGCAATCTCACTTTAAGAGAATACATGTAAAATACTGGTCACTGTATATTTATGCCTCCTTAAAAGTAAAGGAAAGCAAGTATAATCAAACTGAAGCCTAATGATTTCTTTTACAGAAATCATCGTTGCATAGGCTGCAGATGAGGCAATGCTGAATTACTCTTCTTAGGTAGAACAGACTGTTGTGCAAATTAGGGTTGGTTGTTTTGTTTCCAGTTTAGCTATTTAATTAAAATAGAAAACATTACTGAGTCTTTGAACAAAACTTATTTAGATGGTGAAAAAGTAGACCAGAAAAATAGCGCTTGTCACTAGAAAATAGAAAACCATGAATTTTAGAACAAATGTGATTAGTTCACTGTCCGAGCTTAACCATGTAATTTTCTCTCTAAACTTTAAATTATTCGTTGATCATTAAAAGCTGACACAGGATTTAACACCTCCCTCCTTAAGCATGATATTGGTGAACTTTCCAACACTGTGGTTTTGTGCATTTCTTTTGGTAGAAATAGAAATGGCAATTAACTGTTTGAATTAATATCATCTATTAGGCTGATGTCTTACAGTCCTTAAATTCTTTGGCTCTTCAGATTTTACTGAGACCATCTTCATTAAATGGAGGAGTTGATCATAATAGGCCTCTGAATCTGGCTGTGTACCTATTAATCTCACTTGTATATTTTCTTGAGAGAAAATTGAGAACATTAGTAAACAGATGAGCAGCTTCAACTACTACTAGGGAAAGGGGACATGTAAGCCTGAAGGCTAATAAGAGATGTAATGTCTATCCAAATTCTTGTCTATCTAAAAGAAGCTGAAAGACAAAATTAAGTAAATGCTGATCTCCTGAAACCCTGGCCTTGATTGCAAGGAACTGGTTTTGAGCTTTGTTTTTGGCTCTCAGAACACTGTCATCACTCTGCATATTCTCTACTGGTAGGGAAAGTGCATTCTGTTTAATTTGGTTAAAATGTTTGTCACCATGACAGTGCTGTAAAATCTCTCTATCAATCTTAATGGAGACACAAATTATGCAGCTTTATTCATGCAAATGGTAGTTTGTATCCACCCATGGTTCAAGAGACTGAAGTGACATAGGAGGCAAAACTGAAGGCTATGGTTTCTGTTCCTTGGGCACTGATGAATTGTCGTACAAAAAGCTATTAAAAACCTTACTGAAGTTTGCAAATGTCTGTTTCCCTAAAGGAAATGCTTTATCGTGATGGCTGAGGGCAGTATGCTTATGACGGTTCATCAATCTTATATAATCCATACACATTCAGGACCTCATCTGATATTCCAAACACGTTTCAGCATGTGCTTTGTATTGGAGGCAAAAAAAAAATGGGAGATGCATTTCCCAAAATATATTCTTACACAACAGATGAGATTATTTCCTAGACTGGTACCTTCAGCATCTTTATGTCTACCATATGTTTAGCAATGTTATAGGCCTATCTTGAGAGAACGCTGTACAGTCATCTTTGCTGTTGGAGATTTTAAAAAAAGATACTTAACTAGTCTTGACATATCTCAAGTAGTGATCAAACATTTTTGTAGCCGTTACATACATGGGTCAGCACATCAGTTTCTTCTCAGAAGAAAGGTTTAAAGCTGCAAGGGATTTACTGTTCTGAAAATCAGAAGTCAGTTCCCAGTACCTCCTCTTGTTCTTCAAGGGCATCCTACCTAAGTGCTGCTCAGAAATGGCTGGAGATTATCAGAATCCAGAAAGATCAGACATTATGCATGTAATCACCGCTAGAGTAAAGTGAGCACAGACAGTGTTCACCATATAAAAATGTAAAGTATCTAAAATAGATCAAATGTCAGTTACTTTGTCGAACTTCTTACTCCTGTGGTTATTCAAAAACAGGTTCAGGCTCAGTTTATTCCAGTGCCTGCTTTTTTATATCATCCAGTCAACAAAATTACGATTTAGCAGCCCATTTTCAGAGCTGTGCTAAGGGACTTGGCTGTGCCAATGATCACTGCTGTTAATTAGGCACACATCCATATCTCTGTCTTATATTTAATAACAGAGTAACAAATTAATAATGATTAGTAAATAATCTAGATTTTTGGAGGATCTTGTACACAACATTATCTCAAGAACTTAAGTGCAGCAACTGCTAGGATGAAAAACAGCACTTCTGTAGGCTAGGAGCCTTGAACAAAGCCTTGCATTAGCTCATGTTAAGGAAAGGAGGTGAAGAAAATATACAAATAACCCTGTATAACAAATTGAAGGTAGGAGCTTTGAAAATTGGACGTGGTCAAGACTTTTTTTTTTAATCTCTTCAACACTTGGAGGAATTTAGTTCTCTCAAGAGAGTAGGGCTTTTTGCTGGACTTTATTCAGAAGGTGGCACCACAGTCTTAAACACATACTTACTTACCAACACTGCCTCCCTAACAACCTTGCAGAAGGCTGTGCTCGCAGTTACTTGTGTTAATGTTAGCTGACTCAGGAAGTTTAACTCCATATCAATCTTTATGAAGAACAATTGGAAAGCACAGATGATTACTATAGTGAGCCTGAAATTTGTTGCCTTGAAATTTTATTTCATTTGGAAAAGTTTGCTCTATATTAAGCTTGCAAAATTATTTTGGCAGCATCCCTCTGGAAACTGGCAATTTTTTCCATGGGTTTTTGAGCAAAATGAGATCAAACTTCAAGTACGGAATGATCTCTGCACTTGCTTGTCTTGCACATTAATACAGTTTTGATTTCATAAACCAGGGTATTAACATCACTAATCTAGGATCCAACAGAACAGTTAGCAAAACAATACAGTGCATGGGATAATCTTCACAATGTCACTGTTGATAACACTGCCTGCTTAAACACATTTGATTGGCACATTTTTGCCTGTCACTGTGCTTCATCTCAGCTGCTGTGGTGAACCTTGATGCTGCATGTCCTCAGTTTTCATTACAACATTGGCTTTTTATTGAGTTATAAGCTTAAAATTGAAATCAGTGCAAGTTCAGTTTAAAAAATATTTTCAGTTACAAATGTATTTAAAACCAAATATAATATCATATGCCCAAAAATCATTTTGCCTCAAAAGCCATACACATCTCTTTTGACCCTTATACATTTAATAAAAGTAAATTATCTTGGCTATTTTTCACTCAAAAGATTTAGGAATGTATAAACTTTAACCTAAAGCACTTGGTAGAGATCATTTCTATCTCATTCAGCCAATGTTTTTGTTTGCTTGTTCCGTAATCTTTTCGTAGGGTGAAAAGGGAACCATAGGTGACCCTGGACCCAGAGGACCATACGGCTTGCCTGTGAGTTGAGCATAGTTTGTACACGTTGTGCTTTTCATCACTCCTTGATTAAACTTTGTGTGCTTTATGACTGCTTTTCACCTAGCAATACAGTTATTTGGAAAAAGCAAAGATAGATAATAATAATCCCTGGTTAATAATAATGCTCACTGGTCTGTAGATTTCTGACCATGCACATGGTCATGCAAAAGTAATGAAACAAATCTGACATGAACCAGCAAGAGAGAGGAAATCCAGAATGCAAGTGCTCCTCTTTCTGCACCCTGTGGCAATCAGCTGCCTGGGGATCATGTGAAAGTGGCAGGAGTTCACGATGAACCGTGGAAAGCCGCAGCTTTCTTTATGTCAATAAACTGCTTTGATTTCTGTGCTGCAAAGCTAATTCACTGTTATACTTTTGGTTTGTTTGACACTTCAGAGACCAGTTTTGTTTTCATTTCTGTGCCATGTGCTGAGAAGCAATTTGGGAAGTTCATTGTTGATCATTTTTAGGTGGAGATGGTATGCTTTAAATCAGTCATTTAAAGATTATTATTCATTTCTAAAATATGAGTGAGAGCTTCCTTTGGCCTACAAGGACAGCCCAAATAAAACAGCTGACTTACTCTGTTTACTTTGCTGATGACTGGGTCAGTTGTGTACATATACACATGCCTGTTCTGTACTTTGACACAAGAAAAGCCATGTAAATGTGCTTAGCCAAGCACAACCAGCCTTTGCAAGAGAACTGCAATGCTTCCATACCCTCTCCAGTCTAATCTGTTTAATTAATTAAAGATGGAATACAGACTTGTGGTTTAATTGGATCCATTTAATTGTATCAGGAGTCAATGACTAAAGATAGTTTTCAGGCTGCATGGAGTGTTAAATTAGCTTGAGAGCATGTTCATGTGAGGGTTACTTTTGTGAGTTAAATAAAAAAAAAATACAGTTTCTGTTTCCCTTTCCTGTGAACTAAAAATTAAACATAATATTTCATAATAGGCTTTTCTGTATTTTTAGCTTGCTCCTGGAATCTGCATACGAAAAAACTTTTACAATCAAGCAAAATTTTACAGTCAAGTTATCAGTTCCTCAAAATGTTAAACACTGGCCGAAATGTCCTTCACTAACAGCCTTAGCATCGTGGGGTACTGCTGTACAGAGAGAGCATAGAAGTCAGGCATCAAGGCAGCCTTTGGTATCATAGTTTAGGGACACTAATGTAGTTTATATGGTTCTTTGGCAGGGTAAAGATGGAGAGCCTGGCATTGATGTAAGTAATATGTATGATCAATACACTCACAATGGTAGGTAAGCATCTTTTAAGGAATAGCTTACTGGGTGTAACAACTTTGTTTCCATCTAGTGTGCATGCACTACATAGAGAGTGTGCTAAATCAGCATTTGCTCTTTCTCTGTGATAGAGAAAACAAAGATTATGCAATATACAGCCCTAATTGACAGACACCACCAGATGCAGTGCTTACACAAATAGGTGGTACTTTGGTAGTCACTAGGCTGAAAAAACTGCACTTGGTAAGAAAATATTCAGAATATTTGGTTAAGTAAATTTATCCTAATTAAAGAGAATAATTCCATAACCTGTAAGGGATGTATTTCAAAACATAAGTTCTTTCTTTGGCATGCTAAAAAGACTTACTGAAAGCCTTTTCTTCTAATCCTACACTGAAAGCCCTAGCTTGGAAGAGTCTTTTCCAGAATGTAGATATGCTATGTTGCATGGACTGATGTCATTTTGAGTTACATTTCTTTCCATTGCTGACAAAATTACTCTACCAAATACTATGACTTGTCTCACATACTCCTGTGTGTGTGCATGTGTGCACATGTAACACATATATATGTATACAGTATGTAGTGAAATCATCTTTTTTTTATATTTTCCAAGAGTATTTGAAAGCTTAACCTGCATGTGAATAAAAGAAGACCTATCTTTGTCCATTTTGTTTTTATAGGGTTTCCCTGGTCCTCGAGGAGAAAAGGGTGATATAGGAGAAAAGGGAGAAAAGGTGACCAGTGTTAACTGTTTCTCGATTCCTCAGCCTAGTCAGCTCCGCTGTCTTTACACTATGAATTGTCCCATTAAAACTTATCTTTGTTTTTACTGTGTGCCAAAAGGCAGGTCACAGGTAGATGCTGAGCAAAATCATGAAAAACCACAAAAATTTATGCACAGAACCAGTAGTATTAACAAGCTGCTCCTGGGAGGTTCAGACTGGCTATTAGGAAAACCTTCTTCGTTAGGAGGGCACTGGGGCAGTTTACCCAGAGAGGTGGCTGAACCCACTGCAGTACCTGGTCTGGTCTGACCTAATGGAAGGTCAGGGATCATCCTGCTCAGGGTGGGAGGTTAGACCAGGCAACCCACAGAAGTCCCTTCCAATCAGACCTTCTGATTCTGTTTCCATGTGCAGCTAGAGATAGGTAGACAAAATACAGCCATCAGATTCCTAGAAGATCTCTGGAAGAAAAGCTGGTAAAAGAGTTGGCTTACATAAATACATCATGTGAAAATGGACAGTCTCAGATTCTTGCACTCAGGATGTAAAAACATTTTAATGTCCTAGAGTCCAGCATGCTGCTTTGGGGTATTAGCTCATTATTCCCAGAGACGGACTGAATACCTCAAACATGGAACCTCCAGCTGCAAAAGGGCAAGGGAATCATGTGAGGAACCATGTGTGGCCGCAGGCACAGTTAGATCTTTCTGGAGTCTGGTTGCAGCTCAGGCTGCCAGTGTAGCCCTGTTCTCTTGGGCTGCAAGACACATCTCCTAGGAAATCTAGTGCTCCAACCCCCTAAAAATTAATGAAAAAGCAAAACCTGTTTCTTGAGGAGAATGTATGGGATAAAGTACTTAACAAGTCTGACAGATATGTCAGAAACCGTGTTATCTTATGGGCTTTCAGATTAAAAGGATCACCAGGAAGTCTGTAGACTGAGAGCAGAGATGAAATCTCTGTCTTAAAAATTCTCCGACCATTCGAAGAAGATTAGAAGGCAAAGGAAGGTCTTTTTCAGTGAAAAATCAGGGAAGGTATAGCTGAGACCTCTGTCAAAGAAGCTTCTGTTGCACAGGTTTGACAGTTTTCCAGAAATGAGGGAATACTTGTATCTTGCTGCATCAATAGTTCCTTTTCCAAATGGAAGGCTGACTCTCAAAAGACAGAGTAATGCAATTAATGGAAGGTCTCATATAACAAATTTTCTCAGTTTTCTGATGTTTTTCTTTATGTAAGTTACTAATTATCTGTTACCAAATTGGTGTAGCAGCACCCATTTCATTAGAGAATAATGAGATAAACCAGTTTACAGGTTGAGGGTCCAGCTCATGTTTTCTTAGTTTTTAAATATTCCTTACAGTAGTGTCTTAGACTGACATTGTACACATTGAGATTCACAAATTTCTACTTAAGAAATTTAAATTGCATTGCAAAAATATATACATCATTACTAGCATTCTACTGAGGATCATACGCTTGTTTTGTTCATAGGCATGCTATGATAGGCAAGGAGTAAAACTTTACTTCTTCAGTTTGAGATGACTACTAGACTGATGATTTTTGTTTTAGCCTGTCAGTAGTTGTGCTACATTGAAAGTCAGTCAGTGTTTGCATTATAATGTCTGCTTAACTTGGCTGTAAAAATAATTTGTAAAAGTGTTCTAACTCTAATTAGTCATTTAAAAATATAGTTCAGGAGCACTAAGCACGAAAATCAATACAATTGATTTTGTATTTTCAACCTATATAAAAAAAAACAAAACAAAACCTCTTAGAAATGAAAAACTTTTAAGAAATGGTAGAAATTGTGTTATGGGGAGAGGGAGAGAAGGGAGCCCTGATCCTAAATGTGCAGTTGTGTCTCTTGTTGACAGAAGAGTATGATGCGTTACAACAGGGGCTGGAAAGGCATCATCTTTTCCCCCCTACACTCTGCATTGCTGAAAATCTGTGCATGTGATGATTGGAGATGTTCCAGCCTGTTGTGGTTTAAGCCCAGCCAGAAACTCAGAACCACACAGCCGCTCGCTCACTGCCCCCTCACACAGCACTGCACCAGCTACTAAGAAGGAGAAAAATAACTATTACAGCTGAACCCAGGACACAACCATGACATTACTACAAAAGTGCCACAACTTTGTGTTTGTTTAGGCCCTGAGGAAGGGCAAGAAGGAATTTATTTTTTTTTTTAACCTTCATCACATGTAAATTCTCCATAACTCTTGTGCACCTCAGTAGTTCAGAGTAATGAACTGAAGATTAAGAGACAAGAACTCAGTGCATGGCTAAAAGTAGTAAAGTACTCAGAAAATCCAGACTGTTCTCTACACAGATGACTGCTCCATTGGCCTGAATAAGATCATAGATTTGCCTTGAAAACTGGATGTTTAAATAGTTCTCTGATGGCTTGTAACACAACCACATAGAGAAATACAAGTCCTAAGAATATAAAAAAAGAGTAGAAACCAAACTGTACTGTCCATTTTCAGAATCATTTTGGAGTATGTTCGTGCTCTGTGCTTGCGTGTACTCACAGCAAATACATTGGTGTTACATCGAGCACAAATAACATGAGATTTGACCCTGAAACTGTTGGGCTTCTGTGCTACACTGTCGTGTTTCTAAAGGTTTAAGATGAAAACTTAGCCAACACACAGTTCCTGACATGTAGGGCTTTTTTTACATCACAATCTTATAATTTAGTGAAGAAGGGTAATGTTTGAGTTGCTGTTTCCCAAAATATTACTCTGTGACTTTTTGGCACACAGAAAAGATAGACAAGAAACTTTGCTTTTATAGTGTCATGAATGCAGTATGTTTTGTTCATGGAAAAAAATTTTTCATTTGAATGTGTTGAGTATGCTATGAAATTAAATGAATAATATGCTTTCTTTCCTTTTTTAAATATAACTATTTTTTAATTGTGTAAAATGTTTTTTGTCTCTTGTTAATGGATTAGTTTTTGTAGTGGTGTGGAGCTAGTTAAATGTCTATTTACTACGCTTTACCAAAATCTGTCTCTCCTTCCAAAGGGGCATTCCTTCCTTCTCCTTCTACCTCCATTCCTTACAATTCCTCTGTCTTTTTTACCCTTTTCCTCACAAAATAAATCCACCCAATAGCCACAACCTCCCTTGCTGGTTCTCCAATGTCATACTAATTTTCCTATGACTATTTTTCCCATTTCCTTGTGATATTCCCGATTTACTCATCCTTCCTATCCCATTTTTTACAATCCTAGTTCAATTTATTTCATTTTTTTTTTAACAGAACCTTTTTTGATTTTTATGAAATTGAGAGCAATCCTGAAACTCATTTACCATTGTGATAACTGGTGTGAAATCAATTATAAAATGAACTCTGTGAACATCTTATACTGCTTGAAGGTGAGGTCATCTTTGCAGGTAGCTTTGTTGAGGGAAGTCTACTCATTTCTATTGAGTAATTAAAGCACTGGAAGTTTTACATATGAAAGGAAAACTCAGTGTGAAATCAAAGGACTGGATTTCAGTAAAATAAGTAGATGGAATGTTGCCTGCAGTAAAGAGAACATTTAAAAGTTGGAATGTTTAAATCAAGAATCTAATTGTCACTTATTACTTTGATACCAATACATTATAAAATCATTGAAAGTGTCATAGCAGATCTCTCCATCAAGCAGTTCAAATGTTTTGATTCCTGTAACAGGGTTTGAAATGGCCGCGTTGTATTTGGAATGACAGGAGTGCACCCTCAGTGATGTCTGTATCTTTCTGTGGACACCACTGAGAACAGGATTTGTCCCAAACTCATACCAGAGTGAAAAGGGTCAGTTCTGCAAAAAATGCTTCTGGCTACGTTTACCCTTAACATGACACTTTGGAAGTTGATAGAATTTAGCCAGAGACCAGCCATCCCTGCGAAGCATCCACGCCACAGGTCTTTTTTAGAGAGACTATGCTGATGTACTCTGCTCTCACAAACTTCTTCTGACCAGTGACAAATTTTGTCAGGAAGCTGACAAATTCAGCTTAGTGTCCATGTGCACTTCAGTACTACCACTTAGAACAAACAGAAGAGCTCTTGTTTTGGACTGTGGATTGGGAAGTTTTGCAGATTTGCCTCTGTCTCAAGAAACTGATGATTTCAAGCCCTGTTCTAAGATTCAAAACATTCATAATGCTGATGTACCAACACAAACTAATACCTATCGATTGCAGTTCTTGCTTTGATTATATAACTTATTTTTCCACATAATGCACCATCCAAACCAGAACACAGTGGTAAGTGTCCTTTCAGCTCTCCATTGGCTTATAAAGAAAAACCAAAACTTTTAAACCAATCTTTCTTTAATTTTTTTTCCAAAAGAATGAAACTTGTTTTATCCAAACCATTGTATCCACAGGGGGAAAAGGGAAAGAAAGGCAAAAAGGGGCCTAAAGGGGAGAAAGGAGAACAGGGTGCTCCTGGATTAGATGCACCTTGCCCATTGGTACGTCTCACTTCTGTATTGGACAATCAATTGTCCTGCTGTAGACTGATGGAATAAAAATGATGGGAGAGGAGCAAGCAGCAATTACTGTGTCACCTGCTGCCCTTTGTTAACGCAGCCTGATCTCAAGTTCTGGCAAATTCTGGAGCAGACTTTGTTTGTCAACCTCCTAACTTGGTTTAAAGCATTAGACTTCAGACCTTCAGGACAAATTTGTGGGTTTTACTGGTGTTTATTTTCTGCCAAACATGTTAGAAAGGAACCAAGCATGGGAATTGCCAAATTCAGTGCCCCACAGGTTGAAATCACGCCATGATGGTCAGCTTGCTCCTCTTGCCTCTCTACTGTTATTTGTTCACTCCAGATAAGTCAATACTGAAGGCATTTTCTTGACAGTAACATTGCAAGTTAATCTTTACAAACAGGGATTCCGTGGAATTAAGGGGGAAAAAGGGGAGCCAGGCCAGCCTGGCCTGGATGGGCTGGATGCCCCTTGCCAATTGGTACAGTATTTCTCTTTCCTACCAACCCTGCATGCAGTTCCTTTGTTTGTAGTCAGCCATTCTCAGTGTAATGTTTTTCTGAGCTGACCTTACATTAGTCACCTAACACATGCATGTGCATGGACAAACCAGCTGCTTCAGTGATCATAGCTGCAATCAAAGAACACATTTTTTTTGTTGTCACCTCAAACCTAACTCTCAACAGTTTGCTCCCACATTACATGGCAATTTATAAGTTTGTGTCCTTCCTACATTTTCCCTGAGATTCACTGGTTTGTTATTTTCCCTCACAAAGTACCGGTTGCCTTACTCACCCTAAATGCAAGTCTTTGTAGAAACCCAGCACAATCTCCACTTCTAATCAAGTCTGATGACTTCTGTCTGCACTGGCTCAGTTCTTCACCATAGCCCGGTCCCATAGCTACCCTGCACCCTGGACTTCCTTTCAAATCCATGCAGTCTTAGGCGTGTGTTTTCATGATTTGGTCAAAATGAGAGTACAAAATGATGTAAATATTATTTCTAAAAATCAAGTCACAGGTTTCCAGTAAGCCAAGCTGGAGCCTGATCTCCCAGACCTTACACGAGTAATATTTTTGGTGTCTGGCCTGTTCATCAAATAGTTTTCAAACAGATCTGGAAATAAAAAACTTACCTGAGGTTCCTAAGAAGATAACAGTCTGCAGCCCACACCCTCACTGTCTTTGTTCCTTAACGTCTTCAATTTAATGGTCTTACCCTTGGAACTTACCTTCCTGGAATACACACAACACTCCCTACCCTATGTTAGCATGAATTCAAATTCCCACCTATACTAAAATGTTACCTGTTGACCCTTTCCCTTGTACCAATATGGCAACAGTGATTTTTATTTAATGGCAAAGTAAGCTTCAGGTTTTTTTTTTTCTTAAATAAAAGAACAGAACATACACGTTTCCTAAAGATACAAGGAAGATTTTCTTTTGAATTGTTCGCAGTAAAATTTGATCTGCATGTTCTGATACTGTTTGGTGGTTAAGCACGGTTCTTTAAGATGAATGTTAAGTAGATTTATTTTCAACTACAGCACTTCTAGTTTGATGTTAATGAATTTTAATCTTAAATACATAGTCCATTAAGATTATTCCATAGCCCATTTTGTTTGCTTCCAGTTAATGGTAACCATATTTCATATTTTGTTGGGGATAATCAAGCATGCTTTTTCAATTTAAAAATGTTTCTCTGGCTCTGTATTATCATTTATATCTGGAGATTCACTAACAATCATTGATAGATGAAAAATATTCTGTCCATAGGTAATGACTAGAATAAACTGCTAAGAAAATTTCACTGTTTCTAGCTTTAGGCAGCAAGCTGTTTCCATCAGATTGCATAGAATCATAGAATCAATAGCAGGCGCATTCAAAAATTCTCATGAACCACTATCTTCACATGTAAATTCACATAATAAGTATTGTTATTCCATAGTCTAAAGAAATGTAAAGGCCAGATATTTTTTTTTCTGCTCATGTATAGTCTAGTTACATCATATGTGCTCCTAATTCTGAGCATATAACTCTCTGGATAAACCCTGTATAGCCATGTAAATTGGAATTAGTTCCATGAAAATAAGTATGACTGTGGTCAAAAGTTCACTCTGATCTTACTGGATGCATGGAGATATGTGAAAGTAGGGTGGTGTCAGAAAAATGGAGTGACTCTCACTAACATAAGAAGGAATTAGATGGCTATATTGTCCAAGTGATAAAATTATCAGTGCTGCTGTACTGCCCTGAGCCCACCGCTGTTTTCTTCCACTTTGCCACTTGAGGTATGTTCGGGCCTTAAGATTTTGCTACTTCATTCAAAAGCTAAGCGTGAAAGTGAACAGAAAATGTTCTACTCAAATATGAGTCTTCTTGTCTTATCATTGGGTTTACTTTATACTAGGGGCCCATTAAATACAGATTTTAAACACAAATATCCTCCAGATAAAAGTGATACTATTTTGTTGCTCATTGATTTTTACAGTCAGCTACAGATTGTTGTGAATAACAAATGTTATTTATTATATTTTATTATATATTTTAAATAATATGCAGTCTGAGCTCTAACAGCAGTAAGAAACCAATGAAGATATTCTAATGATTTAGGAAAAAAAAATCACTATGCAGAGGGGTGCATGTGTGTATTTACAGTGTCAATTGGGTTTTCTTTCACCTTGAGAACAAGAAAGTAAGTCAGAAACTGGTAGCTACTTATCAGCTAGAAAGTCAGAGCTGCTTTAGCTGTTCTAACAGATATTGAAGAAATATCTATCCTATCAAACTTAACTATGCTCTCTCTATTTTTTATTTGTTTTTCTTTACTTGCTCCCCTTGAAACAGGGTCCCGATGGATTACCAATGCCTGGCTGTTGGCAAAAGGTAGGATGGGCAGAGCTTTTATTTTTCAGGGGCAGTACCTCTTTGGCACACAGAAAAGCCTGTCACAGTCATACTGAACACAATCAGGATATACCTCAAAGCTTCTAGACAGATATATGCAACAATGCAAAATAAGACCTCCCACGACAGTAGCTGGCACGATGAGGTAGTAATATACATTTAGAAGTAATAACTTATTGATGCAGTATTGTAGAAATAGTTGGCTTTAGATTTCTGGAAAGTCCAAGACTTTTCTGCTTCATATGAAGACTCACACATCCTTTGACTTCTGCACATGACCACTGCTTACCATTATTTATAAAAGCTCATGGGCACTTTTATCAAATATTTTTCTTGACTTATTATGATATCAGTTTTCTGAGATACCTAGAAGAGCAGTGCATCCTGCCCTTCAGTTTTCCCTACCTTTCTATTCTTCAATCAATACTCTTGGCTGACATGTTCTATGCTAATGTTAACTGGCAACGTTATTTTAGTAAAGACTTAACATAGACAGTGCTAGATTTAAAACCATTTCATTCAGAATAATGTAGGTGGAAGGATACTGGCATGTAATACATTAGAAAACAGAAAGCATAAGTGAAACCCTAGGTGCATTTATCTCTGAAGTATAGGTGATGCTGAGGAAACAACTCTCCATATTATTTGTAACTCTGCCTTATCTATGTATTTGGAATAGATACCTGAAATATCAATTTACTAATTGGATTAATCTGTATCTTTTTTTTTTTTGTCTTTGCAGTGATGAATCTAACCATACAAGCATGAAGTTGTGTATATAGTGCTCCACTTTTTGTATTTATAGTTGAAAACTGAAAATTTGATTTTACGAGTCTGAGATATGTTTACATGTAGCTGCTTTTACTTGTTTGCAATAGTCCATGTGTACATCTGGTTTTCACTTACATCTGCAGTTAGATGATATATAACTGCAGGGTAAACCTGCAAAGATTCTCTCTTGCATTAGAGAGAGATCTCAATACAATGATCAATAATAAAAATCTGATTATTTCTGTAAATTCTTATATTTTGGCTTGTGGACCTGCATGGACAATGAGTGCCATGAACTAGTTTACAAGAAATTGTGACCAAATAAGAGCAAAATGCTACAAAATGTACTGTACCAGCCGCCATTGAAGTTTACTGACTTGGCTTCCATGTCCATCTTAAATACTTCACTGATTCGTGCCACATCTGCTTGTACAGACTAAAAGCATGAGTTTGTGTGCCAGACCTGCTTGTTGTGTGATCACGTTATGTACTAAATGGCTGCTCACGGTGACCTTTGATTCCAGTTTCTGAATCATTTCCTTTTGTCATCCCAAGGGAGTCACACCATGGCTTATTGCTAAAAAGAGATAAACCAGAGGAGGATAGAAAGAGGCCTTGAATTTTTGGAGAATAGAGTTCCAGCTGCAGGTGGATGGCTTCCAGTCTTGCGGGTTACTTGGCCCCTTTGATCAAAGGGGGTCCCGCCTGTTAATCAGCATCAGTTTGCCTTGCACTGCTCACGGTCGTGAAGACATTCACCGTTCACGACAGGCCCTGTCAAGTCCTTAATCAAGAAGGAAGGAAGTCTGAAGAAGAAACCAGACTTCTCTGTGGGTTGTTTGAAAAGGTTACAGTGGTGCTGCAGGGATCGTTTCTCCATGGCAGACACCTCCTGAGACCAGAAGTTTCTCAACCTTACGAGGATGGACAGAGTATGTACTCTGCATATTGTGTTTTGGGACTGCTGGAGGAAACAGCATTCTTGAGGCGAGGATGAATCAGAACATCCTCCAGTGGAGGAGGATAATGGAACTGACCAGAGACATATGTACCATGGTGTGATTTTCAGGTGATTCAGTTGAAATTACACAAAACTAGCAGAACTTTTCTGCAGAATTTTGGAAGCTATGGTTAATTTTGTTTCCTTTTCCCATAACTGTTGCCATAAAGGATGCATTTCAATAATCTGTTTAACATTTGTGATGTTGGCATTGAAGAAAATACTTCAAGCCAGACATGCATCTTGTTTCAGTATTTAGTTTTTATTTTCGGGTCTTTGAAGCCTTTAAGTCTAAAAAAAAAATAGTTTATTTTTGTGTTTCACAAATTGATTTATATTCATAATTGATCTTGTTCTTTTTCTGCTGTTACAGTGACCTTACTTGACATTATTATTCAAAAAACATTGGAGAAGCAAGTCTGTGTGATTACCACTGCACGCTTGTTACCGCACTACACTGTTAAAGGTGTCAGTATTTCTCCATTTCTGTTCAGATGACTAGTTTTCTAGGCAAACATGGGCAAAGTTTTGCTTTTATTGTTAGAAATACTGAATTTGTGCACATTTGTAGTTTTTGCCATGAGATATTTCTTCCAGTTTTGAGTCTTCATATGGTGCGCTGTAGTTAGTTTGAGAGGCTAGGTTATGAGAAATGGTGCCATATTTGGCACATGGAAGTTCTTTTTATAGCACTCCCATTCCTAGTGTATATAGCAGGATGATCACAAACTTTTTTAGTTACATTTCTGAGGTTTGTTTTTCATACACAGACCAAAACAAAAGTTGAAGAAGACAACCTGTCTCCATCCATGTGTGGGAACCTTACCCTTCTTGGAATGCATGTTTTTGCTTACTCCATCATTTCTAAATCATGTGAAGATGGAGACCTGGTGTGGTTGCACTTTTCATATTGATCCACAATCTCAGATCAATGGAAAAGACACTATAATGCCATCTTTCATTTTGCTAAATCTTTATTGTCATTTTGCTGTATCAGAGACAAAAAGAGCTTTTCAAGAGGGGAAATCTTCCACAGATTTTTTTAAAACTAAAAATTAATTTTGTGGCCTCCATCTGGTAGTACCTTACGAAGTTCCAACAGTATATAGATGTATATATACTGAATATATATATATATATTCACTGCTTATATCCATCTTTCCAATACTAAGAAATAAACAAGTGTTCACAGATATAAGGGAAAATGGTTTTATTTGCTTACATTTTCAGAGATGCGAGCATTGACCTGTTTGAATAATCATTGCTGCAATAGTGAAAGCCTTCACATGGCATAGACTGAATATAAGGTGTTAATAATCAGAGTGCAGCAGCAGTAATGTGAATGAGGAACTTTCCAGAAAGGGTGCAAGGGGAGAATCACATAAGCCCTTCAACTTGACAGTTTTAGTCTGCTTGTTTAAGAAGCACTATCCCAAAATCCAACAGGTTGAGGAGCAAGCTGCCCACCTAACAAAAAAGAGTTTCTTATGCCTATACTCTGACTTGGTACATTTGGCTGGGTATATTGCAGATGTGAATACTAGAAGTTGAATGTTTTTATGAAATAGCAAATACTGGCAATCATACAGTAAGATAAAATATTTTTTAATTGGCCCTCAGAGTATCCAAATGCTAAGTCAAGTAGGATGTTTCTTATCTGGCTAGATGCTTTAGCAGTTCCATATCAAGACTGTGCAAAAACACAGGTTATTTAGGAAAGAGCAACAAGATAAAGAGCCATTAAATGCACACTGTCATTAGCACTCTCATTTTTTAAATTTGTGTATCTATATTTTTAAACTGTCCTCGTTGCATCCATTTCTGTATGCATCAGTAAAGCTGGCAGAATCTTGATTCATTTCCTCATTCAGAAAATATTTATAGATATTGCTGCTAAGCATTAGTCAAAACTCAATTTTCCTTTAACTCCCTGACACTGAGACCCTGCTAAAGAAACACTTCAGCACCTTTACTCACTTTCTTTTCAGTCTTGCAATTTCTTTATTTAATTCCCACCAGAAAGGAATATTTTTTTTTTCCCCAAAAATAATCTAACTTATATTTTTAAGCTTCTGTGTTTTTCAATATCATGAAAGATTCATTCCATTTAAATGACCATGGGTGAACAGCAAATAACTTAATTTGACATTAAACTACATTCATAGATTTGACATTAATATTTGCATCTCAAAGATTGACTTGAAACCTAACAGTATGTAGGTAAGTTGCATGTTCAGGACAAGGGGAAAAATAATGCATTGTGTTTAATATTTAATCAAGAAAAGCACCCTGTGAAGACTTGCAACGTTTATTTTGTTTAAAAAGTACTATTTTTGGTGCTAGTATACCTTTTTTCTTTCGATGGCAAAGCTATAGTTTGAACTGCCTGTGTGTTGTATCTTTTAGTAGCATTCCTCCAGATAGATATGATTTGTTTTGTTTAGTTTGTGACAGGAACAGTAGTTCCTCTACCAGTCCTTTCAGTTGTAGAAGTCTGTAGTGGTATTGGTCTACACAGTTTCTGTATCCCTGACCTTTTCAGGTGTGATTAATTCTTGTTCTTTTGAGAGTTTTCAGTATTTGTTTCACACCAGGTTTTGTAATCATCTGTTACTCCAGTGTATTATAACCACATTGTGCAGAAGTCCTGTTACAGAAGCAGCAAGCCTTTGAAGCACTGTATGGAATATGTCTGACATACATGGTCCTTGTCTTCATATCCATAGATTAGCTATGGGGAAGCTTTCTTTCAGGATGCTTTGGACACCTTTGTATTTTTTTCCTGAGGTAAAGCATGAAATGCTAATTCATGGAACAATGTATTTTTTTGATTTATATTTTTATTTATTGCTGAATTTGATGTCACATTCTGATAGTGTAGCAAGGCAGAATGACACTCTTCATCCAGCTGTTTATATATATATTTTTAGTCCACCATGTAAGTTGTATGAATGAGTTTCAGAATGATCAAATCCATATACCTGCACAAGTGTAAAGTATAGAGTTTTAAAAGGGATAATTCTTAAGATTACTGTACAGTGTGGAAAGTTAGCATTGGCTCCACTGAGCATTACACTCATGGAAGAGTGCATGTGAGTATCAGTTACTCTCTTAAACCAGCAGAAGAGACAATGCAATCCCAAACGAGATGAGCAGACCTTTGGTCCTTGTGGCCAGGTGGTGCTGCATAGGGCTGGGGGCCATGTCAGGGGATGTGGTTTGGATCCTGGACCCCTGGCCTCTTCACTTGGCTGCACCTCCCTTTCCCCAGCAGGGAAACAGGATGAGTGATGCATTCTTCCCTTGCAAAGCAATTTGATACGTGCAGGAGGAAGGACCTAGGTATTGATGCTTAGTAACCAGGGGAATATCAACAACTTTAATCATGGGGTTTGATTGAATCAAGACCACTTCAGTGAGTAAAAACTGCAGAGATACTCCCAGTCTATTGAATGTGATGATGTTCAAGGCATGAAGCGTTGACCTTTCCTTTCAAATTTCCTCATCACTGCTGCTTGACCATCTTAAATTACATTTTTAAATATCTGTCTTTTACCTAATGAGACACATAAATTTTCACACTGGAGAGTTACACAAACCACTAATATCAAAGGTAGAGGTCAAAAGGAAGCCTAAATTTTAGTCATTGCAAAAAAAAAAAAAAAAAAAAATATTTGATTTCAGTGACCAGAATTAAAACTAACACCTGATTTTCTTTATTTTCTTTCTGCAACTTCCTTTTATGGATCTGAATGTTGCTATGATGAACAAGTAAAGATTTTCTTGCACCCTCTGTACTGAAGTATTTTACGTGGTGGTTGGATTCATTAAATGCTGTTAGATACAAGTGCCTGCCACCATCATTTCTGACAGAATTTCAAAAATATGCTACACAGAGCAAGTGGAGTTTGTATTTAAAAAAAAAAAAAGAAAAAAAAAAGGATTTGAAGTGTTGTTTTTGTTTAATTTTGTTTCTAAATGCATCCAATTATCAATGCTGCTTGGAAATCTAATTTTCTTTGGAAAACAGGGGGCCTTAACTTAACCTGGGACCGTTAGCGTTTTACTTGTTTCTATTTAAAAAGAGAAATTGTATGAATTTCCCAGATACCATTGGTACTTGCACACTTCTCTGAAGTATTATGAAGAGTTGAGTTGGTGGAAGAATGTTTTACATATTGTTAACATATATGTGGATATTCTTATATTATTGTACATGTTTGGGAAAATATCACACAACTTTAAAAATGTTACTAAGATGTATGTATCTGACTTTTTCCTTTGGAAAATATTATATATTTTTATTTGTATTTTTTACTTTTTTAAGTTCATCTATATGTGCTGTTATTTTTGTATTGCAAATGGTCTCATAAGTGCAGTAGAAGAGATAAAAATACAAACAAAAGTAATTTGGTAAGGATTACAATGCTTGGGGGGAAAAACACATGGGTCAGTATCATAATATCAATACTAGAAATATTTTGAGTGTCTTAGCGCTGTAAGTATGTCACGAGACCTCTTGACAAGTAGTGTAAATTACAAGGTTTTAATCACCCATTTTAATTTGTTATTAATTACCACTTTCCTGTGGCCTCTGGTCTTGACTTAATTGAACCCGATCAAACAGCATGCTTTTTTTGGTTTTATTATTAAAATCGCTCCTTGTTTTTTGATTGAATACTGTTTTGTTTTCTTTCAGTTTTGTACTTCAGGTTTTGTTTCTTGCTTGTGAGAAGTTGATCTTCAGAATTATTTTTACACTATTTATGATTTATTTTCATAATGTAAAAAGTGTGTAATTATTAAAATATTAATCCAACCACTGGTGCTGATTTTGCATAGTTATAAAGTTTTTAGTGTTGGTGCAAAACATTGCTCTAGTCTGTCTGGATCTGAAGAAATTTATGCTGCATTGTGCCAATCTGTAGTTTGAAATCTTGTACAGGTCGTTTCAGTCAGTATTTGCATTCACACAAAAAATCAGGGCCTTTGCAACACGTTCCATTTTCCTATAGTGTGCAATAAAAAAATCCCCATGTTGTTTAACCCTTTAAAATCGAGTCCATTCAGTCTTCTTTTTTCTTGGACATGCAGAACAGCCTATGGACATCCACAAAAGGATGTAAGGAAAACATTTTGCGGCAAATATTAGAGCTTTTCCTTGCTCTGGGAAAGCTGCAAGGATTTATGTACTAACCAGAAATAGAAACTATTGCTTAGACAAGTCCACATGTACTAGGATCAAAATAAATAAGCTGAAAATCACCAGTCTCCCCTTTCTGTAATACTGAAGGTGAAAAATAAACCTGAACTGCTGAGAAATAAACATGTGCCCAGACAATGTCAAGTACCAGCGTAAGCTAGAAAATGTGAGGATCTGTTTTACCACAAATCCAGTTTGTTCATACAAGACGGAGGATAATAATTATTGCAAAATGGCATATTGTCAACGCCCTGGTCTAAGAGCACACATTTTTGCAGGAGTCTCCTTGAACAAAGGAGGTTTTTTGAAAAAAAATGGAAGATTGGACAGCAGCTGTAATCACTTCAAAGCATTATTTAAATGTTTGGGGTTTCTAAGTCCCAAAATATTTCAGACAAACAAAACACTCCCCATTGTTTCCCCTTCCTTCACCTCAAAGAAATGTACTCACCCTAGGCTAAGAAAGAGAATAAGCACTGGGAGGGTTTGACCTCTATTTTTAACTCTTAATTATTCTTAATCTCCATAGATGTCCGTCAATCTTATCTAGCTTTGTTTCAGACTCTTGGGGGGGGGGGGACTAAAAATAGCTTTGCTCCCTTTCCTAGATGAGATACTTACAGCTTAACTTGCCCAGCATCCCCAAGGAAGCACCCAGCAATGCCAACTGCATTTGCTCTGTGCCATGCTTCACGTGCAGTTAGCTAGATCTAACTGAGCTAGATCTAACTGTCCATGGGTTTCCCATTCAGTCCTTTTACTGCCTGTGAAGTCAAACCTCAGCTAACCAACACCATATAGCCTTCACATCCTATTGCACTCATGGGACATGACTTCCCTCTGCCATTCCTTCACACAAGGAGCTGCGAAAGCATTCATGTTCCAGCAAGTAGTAACAATCAGACCCAAATAGGTATTAAAAGCAAACAAGCAAGAACATGCCAAAGGAAGTCATGTTCCTGCAACCACAGTCCTTCTGTCTTCCCAGGGTCACTAATTTGTCTTCTCTTCTGTTAGCTTCTGCTAATTTTCAGCCAGAGTACTCACGGGGCTTTCTCCTGTCCCTTCCCCTGGCTGCGGTAGAAAAATGGTAGAAAAGTGATTTGGGATTCTTGCTCAAAACTTGGAGCTTGAATGTATGTATGTGTCTGTACGCATGTATATATAAATATTTGCATGCATGCACATATATCCACATGACCTGTAGTGTTCAAGAAAATACTGTACACAAACCTCACAGATTACACTCTGCTAGTATAGTTGTACTTAAGCTGCTTTAGTTTGCATCTGAGAGCAAAGGCAGATAGAGTTCCTGTCACATCAACTAAGATGCAGATTTTTCGTGTGCTTACACCAAGGCAGAATGTTCAATAACTAATAAACAACCTGCTTATCTTTGTATGTGCAGGTTACAGCTTGACTGAGTTTCCAAAGTACACACACCTAAGCGGAGCAGTCATGAGCTCTCGCTGGCATACCTGTGTCTGGCTGCTCCCTCCTGGAGCCAACAAATAACTTGGAACTTTTTGCAAGTTTTTAGAATCTCTTCTCTTTGGCATATTAAGATTGCTATGACTTAATTGATTGAGATAAAACTGATAAAAGCAAATACAGCCAAAAAAATACATAACATGTCAACTCTCACTCCATTACATCAATTAGCTTGTATCAGAAAGATGTGTATATGATACATTTTCCATTTAAAGATATGGAACATTCAGCACTGAAATGATCTTCCACAAAAATGATTCAGGACCCAGCAAGTAAGCAAATGGTTCTGGAAAGCGATGAGGCCACGAAGCTCAGTAAGTAACTTAACCACACACTTCCCTGCCTTCCCCTGTGCCTATTGGTATGCAATTAACACACTCTGTGTTCAACTGACTCAGGGCTGATCACCACATCAACTTGCAGGCAAGTCCATTCCTCATTCAGCATAAATATCAAGCACCTGGCTATCCCTGGGAAGGTGCAGGTAAGTATGGTTCATCAGTCTTTACCTTTCTGTACTGAAATGGATCTTCAGTGCAGATCATTTCCCACTGACGATCTATAATGGGTTTGTTTCTCAGGATGAACCAGCAACAGACTGTTTTCCAGAGGTACAGTAACTCCTTAAACAGTTAATTAGGCAGACAAAAGCACCTTACTTGGATACTTCGAATAGCTCTTAGAAACAGTTACTCCTTTTCATTTTTCATGCAGGGAACCAAGGCTTCTGGTTGCTGGTACCCTGCCAGCAAAAAAGCCATACCCAAGTGTGGGAAAATTAGAATGTTCAGAAATCAGGCAGAGAAAGCACCATGTTTCTTAAATTAAAAAAAAAAAAAAAAAATCCAAAAAAAAACAGAGTATGAAACCCCACACACACACCTATTTTAATAATTCTTTACATCATGGAGAAATAGCTGCTAGTACTTACTCCACAGCTGTACAAGGCCAAGTGGGAGAGGTCTAAACTAGCCAAGTGACAAGATGCTGGAAAGCCTTGTCTCAAGCAGGATCACACTGCTAAATGGAGGGGAAAGACCTCCTCTGCTCTACACATGAGACGTGGCAGGCTTGATCCTGCTGATAATATCAAAAGTGTGTGCAAGAACCGTGAGCCAGGAGGGCGGGCTATTTGCTTGGTTATTAAGCCTCTTTCCATGGCTGTGAAGGAACAGAGAAGCAACCTTCCCCCCACAACACCTACCTTCACCTACCACTCTGATCTTTCCTCATGAGGTTTAATATTGACTCAAGCAATTACTAATCCAGCTGTGAACAAACTTGCTTTTGTTACACCTGGAACAAAACCTCCTGATACAAGCAGGGCTGGCTGCTGATCCGTGCCAGTAAAGGAGCAGAAGCACAGTAGCCTGCATATCCCTTAAATCTGTTTGTGGTCCAGGGTTTCTGTGCAAGCAAGACCAGGCAGGTCAGCATAGACAACTGAAATTATTCCATGTAACTGCGCCCAGCAGCCCTAGAGGAGCAACAAGCCTGTGCTGGGCACCAGCAGGTGGCAGGCACAGGCGGGTGCGGGGAAATCATCTCTTCTGAGATGCCTTTCGACTCTCAGACTCATGTGCTGACCTTCGGTGCCAATGTTCCAGCCTTCCTTTACATTACTGTCACAAAGGGATTGCAATGAGGTCCAGTATATAACATGTACAACTGAACCACATCTACCCTATTCTAAGTATTATCCCCCACCTTTCAGAGATATGGGCAAAATGGAAAAGCACTGCAGAAAGCATTCCTGGCAGGTTCTAGCCTAGGCTTGATTTGGGTGTTAGCAGATCTAAATGCCTGCTATCTTCTTAAGACTCATCAGTGATTCTTGTTACTGGCTGTACAATACTGCCCTAGGTGACAGCTTTGACAGCTCCTTCCTATCTTTTAAGTCCATGCTTTCTTCTGCCTGGGCAAGGCACCGAAGATCGGCAGCTGCTGTCTCTGCTGGGATGTAGAGGTGTTGCTACTGGCGCCTCCTACCACTTCTGTGACAGGGCTGTTCTGTTGGTTGGGTGAGGCAAGGTTTCCAATGGAGCTGGAATGTGAAAGCTGCAGAGCTTCAAAATTAACAGTTTGACGAAGCTCAAGAAAACGCCTGTAGGAAAAGAAATGCTTGACTACAGAAGCAGAAAGGTGGCTTACTGGCAGAGACACAGAATATGTAAAAATCAGGAAGTGTTTCTTCCATCTGCAAAATTTGGGATGACTGACTGGATACTGATCTAGAAAAGACAAGCATCATCAGCACAGGAAGTTGTGTGGCTTTACATATGCTCTCTGAAATCTCTTCCAAACATAGCTCTGCAGGTGGCATAGACGAGCTACAGATGGGGCAGTGGGGATGTGGGCGCAGGTTTTGCTGCTCTCTGCCCATGCAGCTCAAAGACCAGCCTCCAGGCGAGGAGAGAGTGCATCTTGGCAGGGACAAGGTAAAGCTAAGGGGCTCCTCCAGGAGCTTCACTGTTCTGAAATGCAGTGCCTCTTGACGTGAATTCTGCCCTTCTTCACTGTGAAATCATCCTTTTTTCTTACAGGCTTTGATGTCCAGTGAGAGGGTTATCAAGGGTAACCATGAAGCAATGCCACATTCAAGCAAATTGCTTCTATGTGGACGCTGTGGTTAGAAGGAGATCATAGGACTAGTTATACTTAGGTCTTGCCTAGACTGGAAAAGGGTGTACCAGTGCATCAGAGCACCAGGGATAGAGCCCTTTCCTACTTACGTGTATAAAAACATTGAAATCCATAGCTCCTCCTAGTTTGCTTCACTTTACAAGAAATACGGATACTGTCTTTGATGGATGTATACAAGTATCTCTCAGCCTACACTTACGGACAGGTTCAGGGAGATAAGCATCTGTAAAAGTCCCTGGATTATGACGCTAATTTGGATTGAATCAACTGCTTGGTGCCCCCCTCGGGGACGTGTGCCGCACAAGTGCGCTGCCCGCCCGGCCACCGGGGAAAGGCGAGCAGCCGCAGGCCCGTCGCCTGTCGCTATTGGAGAGGGGTGGCCGCCCGCTCTTCCTCTGCAGCAAGTTGCTGTGTTGCAAGTTTGTGCCGCTCTGCACCGCTGGAAAAGCTTCAAGGCGCGGGGAGGGGGGGGGGGGGGGGGTAGCTAGACAGCGAGCAGAAGTTGACCCCCCCCGACGGAGGGCAGTGACCGGCCGGGACGCTCTGTCCAGTCCTGTCCTTTCCCGTCCCGTCCCGTCCTGTCCCGCTGGGGAAGGCGGGAGGGGGCAGGCAAGGAGGAGGAGTTTGGCGGGGGGCAGCGCCGGTTTAAGAGGCGGCGAGCCCCCAGCCGTGCCGTTCCGTGCTGTGCCGTGCTGGCGGGATGGAGGAGCGCTACAGCAAGGCTGAGACCCTCGCCCTGCGGAGGAAGCACATCGGGTAGGGTCTGGGAGCGCGGCCGGGGGCGGGAGGATGAGGTGGAGGAAGGTCTCAGGCAGCTGCACTGTCCCCCCGGGATGTGCCACTGCCCGGACGGCCCCGCTGAGCACTGCTGGGGGCTGGCAGCGCTGGGCATTCCCTCCGGGGCTGCCGGGAAGGAACACGGCTCGTCAGCCCTTCATCTTGCCAGATCTTCCCTCCGCCTCTAATTCCCGCGGCGATGGGAGGGTGCAGTCCTTAAACACAGTACATCAAACCCTACATCACTTTTTTAGAGATCAGAGCAAGCAACCTGAGTGTGGTACCCAGGTGAATGTCTAAAATGCAGCTGTGCAGGGTTTTGGGATTTGGTTTTGGCTTGGTTATTTCGGGGTTTTTATGTGAATAAACTGCATGCTCCTGGAAAACAGACGGCTCTGTTAAATGAAGCCGAGGAGTTTTCTTAAGCTAAGTGGGAGAAATGCAGGAAGGCTGCTAGCAGCTGTGACCTGAGCAATATTCCTGGCTGTGCACTTACCTGATTCCATGGTATTGCAATATTAGTTACACCAGAATGTGCAGCTATAATTCTTTTATTCAGTAGGTGTTGCTAAGTGAAAATAAATCCAGATTGTTAAAACCATACTGGCTATTTGCTGATTGCATCCTAAATGTGTGGCATATATAGAAAGTTCACTAAAGAGTCAAAAAAGTCGTCCTCATGAAGACGACACATAAGCCTCTCTTTGGGGCCAGCTCAATATTACAAGACTTGCTTGTGCAAGGATTAGAGGATCAGATTGTGCTGGGCAACCAAAAAGAAACTTTCACCAATCAGACTGATCTGCTGTAGAAGAAAATTCTGTGGTCAAGATCTGGCCGATGATGATGATGGTGTGCATTGCTTTTAAAGCGTACCAGAGCAGTAACTGAAGATTTCAGAAAAGATCTATGCAAGGGGGCTAGAAATTGTGAGAAAGAAAGTAAACAACTTCACTTTCTCAGGGTCACATTTAGGCTTTACAAGTTCGGAATCTCAAAATACCCAACAATAACTCCTGAGTTACCTGGAAACAACTGTGCTTATGCAAGGTCACATAAACATTACCAAAAGTTCAGGGAGCTTTCCTTCTACTCAGTAATATCATTCAACATAATTACATTGGCATGTTCCCACTGGGGGTTGGCAGGGGGAGAGAGTACTTCGGGTAATTTTACAAGGAGTCTAAATTTTGCTGGAAGTGATATAGGTTCTTATAAAAAGCTGGTTTTAAAGATTTTATCCAAAGCAGTCAGGAAGAAATAGTGAGGGTTTTAAGACCTTCTCAGTACCTCTGAAAATAAAGCCCGCAAAACATTAGTGTTTTGTTCTTGAATGTGACCTCTATATGATAGTCATCCATTGCGTGATGAGTTTTTGGCTATAGTATAAAACAATGTCTAACAACATAACTTTATTCCCAGTGAGTTAATTGCCAATACATGTTTGTAAGGCATGTAAACAAACAGAGCTACAGCCTAGAAACACAGCAGGACATATAAGGACCTGGAATGACCTGCAGTCACTATGCTCCTGTGAAACCACTTGCAGACAGAATCATGCTTTGAATACACCCTTATTAAAGACCTGCTTCTGTTCCCACTGTGCTTGAGGAGTGGCACGGGGGCTGGTTTTAATTTCAGCAAGAGCCCCACTTGCCCACTGTTGTGATTTAAGCCAGGACACTCCCCATCTGAACCACTCACAAGCTCATTGCAGAGGGAGGCAGTTGTCTCCAGAGCTGCCAAAAAAGCATCCCTCCCAAACACTCAGAGGAGGGGGAGCAACTAAGAAATCTAAAATGATGTTATTTTATAATTTTTAATTTTGTTTTTAGACCTTCCTGCAAGGTTTTCTTTGCCAAGGACCCTCTGAAGATAGTGCGTGCTCAGGGCCAATATATGTTTGATGAGAAAGGAGAAAAATACTTAGACTGTATCAACAATGTTGCACATGGTAAGCAGATTAACCTGTAAGACTGTTCCTTAATTTCTAATAGGGATCAGAACATGCTTCTTCTAAGTGATGAAGTTCACAGTGCTTCTCTGAATCTCCTTGTAGTTCAATAACTGGCTGCTTGCTAGTAATAACTAATTGTTTTCCTCTCTAGTTGGCCACAGTCATCCATATGTGATAAAGGCTGCAACAAAACAGATGGAACTGCTCAATACAAATTCCCGGTTCCTGCATGACAACCTTGTGCAGTACGCACAGCGTCTCACAGCCACCCTGCCCGAGAAACTCTCTGTTTGCTATTTTGTTAATTCTGGGTATGTCTCACTGTTTGGTTTTTTCCATTATGACTACTTTGCAGCTGTTGAGGTGGACACTCAGAACAGCTTGGTCTAAATCTTACTAACTAGGACTTAGTAATAAGCAACAAAAATATTTCTAGTAGTGTACTGTCGTATTTAATGTGCTTAATGCAAGACAGCTAAAACATAAAACTGGTTTGCTGAAAGCTCTGCACACAAGGGGGAAAAAAGCAAGAAAAGCAAATCGGACTGCAAATTGGTAAATGCTAGGTACAGAGTAGTGAATACAATCTGTAAATTGATGTATGACCTGGAAAGGAGTAGTCTTTTTTGGCGGTCCGTTTACCCTGTCATCACTTACTTTGCCGGAACAGACAACCTGCAGGGACTTGTGAGCAGAGGGGCTGTTACAGGTCAGACTAGAAGTTTGAGTCTTCATCTGAGGAGCAGATTTACATTCTCTGATGCCTGATGGTGTAAGCACCGGGGACGACAGAGACGTCATGGAGAGTGGGAGATGGGGTTGGCATGCTGCTGCTTTCTGAGGGTTTGTGGCTGCATTGCACTCTCAGCTGCAAAGCAGTCTCAGTTGTACCAAGAGGAGGTAAATGTCTACAAGCAAACTAGGGGAAGGAAAGAAAGCATCTCTTTGTTTGCTATTTATACAAAGAACCATTTTTTCTTCGCCCTCTTACATGGCATTTTGTCCCAACCTTAGCATTGTAATCTGTATGGTAACAGAGCCTGCTGTGTTATTATATCCATTAATCCCATGCTTCGTCTTCTGTATGAGAATACCATTTTAATTGGAAGCCCTTCCTCACTATTTTGTGGCTGTATCGGTTATTATGCAGGTCTGAAGCAAATGATCTTGCTTTACGACTGGCTCGGCAGTACCATGGGCACCAAGATGTGATCACTCTTGAAAAGTAAGTACATAGAGCAGCTTATATGAATGCAGCCAGCAACTCCTGCCATTACCTCAGAAGTGGCTTTGCAGTAACCCCCTGCTGTTTGTACTCTACTGCCGGCTGAAAGAAAAGCTTTGTTGCTTTCATATTAGAACAGGTCAGGAAATCCCTTTTCCTTTTCCGCATTTGGATAAACACAAATCTTGAAGATCTCTGAAAAATAAGCTTGTCAGTACCTCAAAAGGTCAATCACCTGTTACAGGGCATTTCCCACGGAGACTCCTGAAGCAATTCAGGCCAAAGTCTTGAATGTGGGTTTCCAACATCAATGATTGGTCTGGCCACAGGGCTGCTCTGGAGAAGGGCTTTCTGTCCATCACACTCTACTGGACATGTTTCTTTTTGTACAAGTAAATATTCAGCGGACAAGAAGATCCTGTAACCCTGCAGCAGTGTTGCACTGGTGCTCAGCTCTCTTTCAGTGAGCACAAGTATGTGCACAAAACCAAGCAGCTCCAAAATCAGGAGGCACTGAGCAAGCCACCACCCGTGGGGATGGTGGACAGCCATGTCTCTGGATTTCCCTTGCTGAGATGCAGCTGTAGGCTTGGGTCTTCTTCTCAGGTTGTGATTAGCAAGTCCAGCCAGGGCAACTGCAAGAGCACTTGCCTCTATTTGAATGGCACAAAACTTATTTGACTCAGCTGTTCTCAGATCACTGTTAGCCCTCCTTGACTCATGGCCAAGGCTTGAAGCCTTTGAGAGTAGGTTCCACCAGGAGAGGTGGAGGATGGAGCTGGCTCTGTCACTATTTTACTGCAGCATCTTCCTGAACACTGCAAGATATTTCTTTGCCCTGGTTCTCACACTCTGTAGGCTTTATACCATAGCTACCATCTCAGTCAAGGAAGGCTTTCTGTCCTTTCTTTGTGCTCATTAGCAGATTTTTTTAGCTAGTAGAAAGTTGTAAAGAGCACAAAGGAGTTCAAACACATCTCTCTACCCTATTTGTGTGCTGTTAAGAGATTGTGACATGTCTTTGATGTGGTTTGAGGTTCCCTTCACTTCAAGTTTATGGCTGAAATAGAGTGTTTATTCCCTGAATGAAGCTGCTACATTCTTTAGGCTCAAAAGACTGTTTTCCTCATTTCTAAATCAAATTGGGCTTGGTAGTAACCAGCTTTAGAGTACTCTGTGATATAAAGCTTTTATATTCAAACAATATTCATACTTACCCTGAAAGTGGCTCCAGCCAAACATTCTAGCCTGTAGGGTCTTCAGGGCAGGTAGCAGTGTGCTGCTGCTGCAGAACATCCCCACCTTCAAGTGCAGTGCACGTTCTTGAGAGTCTCTGCAATGGTGTTGGGGTCTAGTTTGCAAAGCTTGGGCTAGCCAGAGTGGTCCCCACATGTTGGAAATGAGGGAGCTGGACTCATCTTTCTACTGCTAGGTAAGGTTGCTAGGGCAGCCACCTTAGAGGTAGTGTGGTCCAGGGAATGTCATCTTGGTCTGTCCCCATGCTGGCACTTGATTTTATGCAAGAAAAAAGCCTCCTGGTTCCAATCTTGCTAATGAATTAAAGTCAATGGCAATTTCACATTGTCTTTGAGAAAAAGACTGAGTAAATTAAATCAAGATCACTTAACAAACAGTGCTACTGTGTTGCAGATACAGTTATTTGTTCTGGATTATTTATGGGCACAGCTGTAATTTAGCTCTTCTATACATTTGGTGAAAAGTGACTTCGATATTTAACACTTACACAGTGCTTACCATGGCCATGTTACATCTCTGATTGACATCAGTCCCTATAAATTTAATCAGCTGGGAAAGGACAGCAAGAAGGACTTTGTCCATGTGGTAAGTGTGGTTTTTTTGCTTTTTGTCATTTTTATGCTCGTTACGCAGCATACTGAATTACCCACTTCTGGTGTAAATACACTTTCATTCTGTTTTGCTGATGCTAGACTACATACACTTGGCTGTTTATTAAATACAGTAAAATTGTTTGCTTTTGGATTTCTAAGTGGGCATTCAGCTGTGAGGCTGATTTCCTTCAGAATGCTACAAGTTTCTTGAGTCACTGCACTATATGTTACAAAGTTTGAAAAAATTAGCCACTACCTGTTATGTTGGTTTGGATAAAGATAGGCAGGACATTTGAGTCTACTTCCAAAAACTGGAAAGGGAGACACCACAGGTTCACACAGATCTGGGTATAGTGCTCACGGGTGTCCAACTGAGTGCAGTACAGTTCGATTTTCTGCCTGATCTTGATATCTTACAAAAGCAAAAATCATTCTCAGCCCAGAGGTGTACACCAAGCAGGTCTTTCCTAGCTAGACCTCCTTGCATTAAGCACACTGTTGAAGTAGTAGCCACCTTTTTATACCACTTCCTTTCTCTTATTTACTGAACAGTTTGTAGAAGATGGAAAGTCATACAGATTTGTACTGTGACTAGGACACCGGAAGGAAAGTCACGGACTGGAAAACCCCATTTTCCAGTTGCAGAAATGGATCTTTCTGCAAGAATCTGAAATAAGATGATGGATGAGGACTCAGTATTGTGTCTTGGGGGAGAGGAGGGATGGTCTTGAAAGGTGGAGGATGTAGGGATGGTTTTGAAAGGTGGACGATGTAGATGATGGCTGTTTCAGCAGCTGTTGAACACATCACAGGCCTGGATTGAGTTTAAGCTCTTGTAAACATATTTGCAATTCCATGCAGAAATTCAGGCTGTACTATTAGTATTTTTCTGTGTGGAAAGAACAAAAATGCAGAGCAATAGAGAAGAAAGTAAATGTTTCATAGAAGGATGGGCTTAAAAAAAAAAATAAATTCAAAAATTGTTTTTTTTCAGGCTCCTTCTCCAGATATCTACAGAGGGAAATACAGAGAGGACCACCCAGATCCAGCAAGTGCTTATGCTGAAGAGGTGAAAAAGATTATTGAAGAAACACAGAAGAATGGACGGAAGGTGTGTGTTTTGTGCTCTGTAAATGCTGAGGTTTCATCTGTTAAGTGTGGCATGGGGGCTTGAAACAGGCAACTAAGGACACGTTTCTTTACTCAGTTTTGCTTGCTTCCCCCCATCCTTCATTTTCTATGCTGGGTTCTGTGTTCAAAATAATAGCCCATTTTTCTACCTGATGCTCTTTATCATAGTATTTCTAGGCAACAATGAAGGGATCAATAATACAGATGCAAATAAGCAGTTACAACCAAAGCAGTTTGATTTATCATTTCATGCATTGAATCAGTAGATTGTGAATATCTTAGGGCAAGGTTTGAGGTAAGATGAGAAACTGTACAGATTCTAGCAAGGATATATCAAAGTCTCCAGGACGTGGGGTAAATATACTGGATAAAATCTTGATACATTTCCAGGTCTAGTAGCTTAAGGTAACTCTGTAGTCATCTAAAAATGTATACCTTCCAATCATTTACAATATGACCTTAATAAAAACAGACGATTTCTGAACAAGTTTACCTAAAATGCATGTTAATGTTTTATATGATGGCTTTAGAGTTTCGAGACATGTAGAGCTTGATCCAAAGCCCACTGAAGTCCCAGAAGGCTTCAGTGGGGGTTGGAACAACATGTTCTCATCTAGTCCAGTGCACTTACATCACTCTTTTAGTTTCTTCATCAACTTTTTTTTTATTCTCTACTAACGGATAGTTTTGTTTTTTCTTCCCTTGTTTCCTTTCTTTTGCATATTTCTTAGGTTTTGATGACATAGACCTGTGGCAGGACAAGTTGTGCTAAAGGCTAAGCCTCACATGCTATGGGAAGCTTCGTACTCTTTGGCCGTAGCATGCCTCTTCAAATATAGTGTATGGTTCTTTACACGTTACTGCTCGGCCTTGTTTCCAGGAAGACTGCACCAGCCCAGAGAGACCTCTTGATGCTCAGGGAGGGGTTCACAAGTGGTGTGGGGATGCAATCCCTTAAATAGCAGACTTATGCCGAGACTTTGGGGTAATATCATATCTCTGCTGCATAGACCTCTGCTGTTGACAAGAAACGAATTTTGATGTTCCAGTGTATCTGATCCGCTGCTCTTACCCTTACTGACTTCAAATAACTTTCTTTTTCATTCCTAGCAACTGGAATTATTTCATCTATAGAATTTTTCTCCTCTTTTGTCAAGTGCCTTATGCTGACATTTTACTTGTGTAGTTACTTGCATTAAGCAGGGGTGCCCAAAGCATAGCCTCAGGTCATTTTACAGTTCAGCTTCTGCCCACCTCTGGCTGGTGTTCAGGATTGAAAAAAAAGCTGATCATCACATATATGCATTACAGGAGAGCCTTGGCATTAAGAAAGTTTCATTAACCTCTTGGGGAAAAAAGAGTTTCACACACAACATGGTGGTGTGTCTCCTGTAAATTGAAATCTGTAAATAAGTTTGCAGAGCTCCCAGGAGCCTGATCCAACATCCACTGACATCAGTAAGTGTCTTCCACTTCAACTGTAGGACTAGGGCTTAATATAGGTCCTTGTATTCCTATCAGGTTGCAAAGGTGGCCCTGGCTACTGCAAATTTGGGCACCCCAGATTACAAAATGAATAAATTCTTTAGCCATAGCTGTTCTCAAGAGGCCTCAGTTGTCCAACCTGTTTCGTGGCTAAATTAAAGCACACATTGAAACACGTATTTCTAGGTTGTTAGGTATTTGTGTAAAGGCCAAGTAGATGAGCACAGTTCTCACCTGAGTTTGTTTCTCGTAGATTGCTGCCTTCATAGCTGAATCCATGCAGAGCTGTGGAGGCCAAGTAATTCCACCTGTGGGCTACTTCCAGAAAGTGGCAGAGTACGTACATCGCTTCAAAAGGGTGTAACTGGAAAACGAGCTAAAGAAACAGGTTTTTCACTATAGGCTTATGCAATCAATTAAGCTATCCCTCTCTGTTGGGCTTGGCTACCTGTGGTTCCTTTCTACTTTTTGAAGAGTATAAATCCACTTCTATTTTATTTTTATGGAACATTAGTTGACCAGTTGTTTTTAGCTGGATAATTATCTTTCCTTTTCTATCTTTAATACTTAGGCCACAAGTTTGATGGAAGATGAAGCTGAACCTTCATAGATAGAATCCTGAAGTACTATTACAGTGCCCTATTCTGCATCAACGTATCAGATTTTTTCCTTAACGTTTAGCAAACTGAAAATTTTATCAATTGAAATAGCTATAGCTGTGTTTCGGCAGCCACATTCTTTCTTTTTTCCTAACCTGGTCTCTCACTGGAGAATTTCTGTAGTAGAAGCTCCCCTGTCCCAGACTGCCTGCTTGAGACATGTACTGCAACACTAGTCATTGAAGCTATTCTATTTGTTTTCAGGTATGTGCATGCAGTGGGTGGAGTGTTCATAGCTGATGAGGTCCAGGTTGGCTTTGGCAGAGTTGGGAAGCATTTTTGGGCGTTTCAGCTGCAAGGTGAAGACTTTGTGCCTGACATTGTCACCATGGGAAAACCCATTGGCAATGGCCACCCTATGTCTTGTGTGGTCACAACAAGGGAAATCGCTGAAAGTTTTGGTGCTTCTGGAATGGAGTATTTCAATACAGTAAGTTTGTATGTGAAAGATTGCCTTCTTTTATTTTGGTCTGCATTTAGCAGTTAGAAGTTGTTCAGGTGATTCAGCTAACGTCTGCGTCCACCACCGCATCACATTACTTGAGAGTCAACCACAGTCTAACATCTAAAAGCAAGTGGAAAGGCTTTTAAATATGCTCTGTATCAAGTGATATATCTTACTATGAACCAGCTCTAGCTCTCTGGCAAGCCATGCATTTCAGCTCACATCCATAAGATAAATTCTACTTTCCTTCTCTCTCTCTCTCCTTGCTCTGGAATGTTGGCCATGTAAAATCTCATTTTCTAGGACAGGCTCTGTGTTGGTGGCACGTGTACCCTGGCAGACCTTGCTCTGCAGTTGTCACCTAACAAAACCCTAACCAAAAAAAGTGACCATTTACCACCAAACATTTGAGCTGCATGCATGCCACAGAGAAGTAGCTTTCTTCTCGTTTACCAAGTCCTCTTTCTGCTCCTGTGACTGAGCCTTCTTCCCAGCTACCTTGAATCCCCTGCTTTTAATGGAGTTTATACCCTCTAGTTCAAGAAATAGCAGATCTATCACCCACCCACTGCTCTTCACAGGAGTATTTTGCCTGCACATGTAATAGGCAAACCATGAGAGCAGCTTGAACACTTTGGCAGTGAAATCTTCAAATTACTGAAACTCAAAGCAGGGGAAATGGTAGCCCCTCCCTTAGGCCTCTTACACTGCCCAGAGTGTAGGGGATGGTGCCCCACAGCCTGCATGGCATAAAATCTCCACCTCTTCAAGCATTCCTCATGACATGGCAATCTGGAGAGGGGAAGTGAAGGATAGGCACAGTTGAATGTTTCTTGATAGGTTTTGTTTTCCTATTTGTCTTTACTATCAGTTTGGAGGCAATCCAGTGTCTTGTGCTATTGGTTTGGCTGTGCTGGAGGTAATAGAACAAGAAGATCTCCAAGGAAATGCTACACGTGTAGGAAATTATCTCCTGGAGTTGCTGGCTGAGCAAAAGGAGAAACATCCCTTAGTGGGAGATATCAGGTGGGTGCCTTACAGCAGCGTCAGAGAAGAATAATAACTGTGCTAGAAAAATAAGTTGGGGGTGCTGGGAACACAGAAACATTATGTCATGGTTATGCTACACCTTTTTTTAAATGGACGACACAGAACTGATACTGTGAGGCAGTATATTTTTCAAAGTTGTCCATCCATCTACTTAGAATTTAGCTTCAGAATTCAGCTCTGAAGTGTAGTCGTTAGAAAAGCTCTTGGAGAGAGTAGGAGGAAGAGCTATCCGCATGTGATATCCTAATTGTCAGTGCACTGTTGGGATGTTGGATCTTGTTCAAATATCTGGTTCATTTCACTTGGAGATCTTAGTATGGGTTTTCCTCATCTCATGTTACTACTATGAAAATTGCCTTCAGGTTGGCGAAGGAAGAGGGTATTAAGTTGTGAGGGTGTTTTTGGTTCTTAGTTTTGGTTATTTGTCTTCCACAGCTCCCTGGCTTGAGGTTTGCAGGGTAAGAGAGAAAGAATATTACTCTGTCTTTCTTAACTGGCCTTAATAAGCCAGCTAAATTTGTTTATCCAGAAATACCTGTTATCCCACTTGATCATCTGAAGTAGCCAGTGCCAAAAGATGGCCAAAGAGAACACCCTCCTCTCTTTCCTGCTCTTTCTCCCTTGTACCCCAGGGAAGGGAACTGTACTTCATAAAAACAGGTTTTGCATTTTCTTGCAGCAGAAGGCTGGGGTTACTGACACTGGGTTTCACTGGTTTGTATTTTTTTCTCTGCTCCAGGGGTGTTGGATTGTTTGTTGGAGTGGATCTGGTGAAAGATCAACAAAAGAGAACACCAGCCACAGCTGAAGCTCTTCACCTTATTTACAAGTAAGTGGCTTTTAAAAACTATGTGCAGTGATCAAACCCTCCCGATATTCCCCAGCAGTTAGTCATTAATTTTCAGTTTAAATTTGTGTAGCTTTTGATAACATAGCACAAGAAAAAAAAAAAGTTTCAAAATATAAGTCGGTCACAATATAGTTTTATACCTGTGCCTAACACAGAATTTTCCTCTTTCCACAGGCTGAAGGAGCATCAAATCCTTCTTAGTGCAGATGGACCCCACAGAAATATACTAAAATTTAAACCACCAATGTGTTTCACAATGGAAGATGCAAAACACGTAGTGGAGACAATTGATGCACTTCTCACAGGTATGTATGCTTTGGTGCTCAAAGGAATGCTCTTTCTAGATGACCCATTTGGTAATGACCCATTGGTGATGACCCATTTGGTGCTCAAAGGAATGCTCTTTCTAGATGACCCATTAGAAACATCAGCCGCCATAATCTAGGCCATTATATGCAAGAAAGCAATCAATTACATTTCTTACCACTTGTCCAAACTGATGTTCTTAATACCAATTGCTGTAAATAAATAAAAAACTCCATATGTACTTCATCCAGACTTCTAGCCAAAATCCTGCTCTTGATCCTTTCTCTTACAAACAGAGTGTTACTACTCATTTCTGGTCACATATGCTACATGTTAAGGAGCATATATATTCATTCAGACAGGCCTGAAAGACACTGCTGAAACACTGGTGAAACTTTCCATAAGGTGCTCTACCCTTTTTGTTTTATTTTAACTGGCGTACTGGAACATGATTGCCTCACTCAAATTTAGCCTGAAGGTTTTCAGGCTCCGTTTATCTTCTACCTGGGGACCAATCCAGGGGAAAATAATGTACACTAGGTATACTATTAGCATAAGGACTCTTCAAGCCCATTGGACATTGAATGCTCCCATCTCCTGAGATTGTAACAACTCGAGTTAGACTAGCATGAACCGGCTGGACAAAGGGAGAATTCAGCTCTGAAAGGTCTGTCTGAATCCCCATGCTACAGTCAAGCCTCTAATTTCATTCTTTTCTTTAAACACCCCCAAGCTACACAGTCCGGATACGTTAATCACGTTGCCTCAGAGAAGTGTTTTAGGAAGTATTCATCATTCTTCAGTTATTCTTCTGTGTGATAAATGCTCTGAGGAATAGCTGATTAGGTATTCTTTACTTCAGCCAGCTGTTAAACTGACTGTATGCTTACTTACCCCAGTTTATACTTAATTGAATTCTTTTATTACTTTTTTTTTAGAAATTGAAGAGGCCACTGGAATGAAGATAGAAAATAATGCATCTGCAAATGCACAGTATAAAAGAAAAGTATGTTTTGAATTTTTTTTAGGTCTTATTCAGATAGGTGTTTGGCAAAGCAAGTATAAATTACTTTGGTGGAGCACACCTTCATTTTTGGTGGTGTGAGTAGTTCTGTGCCTTGAAACTGAGCTCAGAACGTAACCCATTACTAGAAACCTGAGAGGATTGTGTTACTGGGGCAAATTTAAAAAGAGCTGAGTAATACAGACCTACAAGAAGAATCATGTTATAGACAAGCCCCTCACCTTGGCTGCCTTGTGTGCAAACAAGACCAACCAGACTTTGGACTGCACAAAATTGTGAAGTCAGCAGTCAACGATGTTACTAGTTCTGGGTATTGCATGCCACTGATGGCTATTTGGCTTTCTAAGCAAGCCTACAGCCTGGAAGGTGTCCAAGTTTTCGGAGAATGCCAAGGATTTTGTTTCCACCATAGCTCTCTGAGTATGAACGGCTGATGTGCATCCCAATTAGGACTTACTAGGTTGCAGCCCCAGCTTTGGATAAATCATCTATGATTTCTCACAGCCTTAAAAACCTGGCACCCACCATGTTTATAGGAAAGCTCACTGAGCTGTCCCTTGGTGAGTTTTTCAGTGATACTGTGAATAGTGTGAAGGCAACATCTGAGCTGTCTAGGGATGTAGTAATTAAGGCAGACGCCATATGGATTATTGGTTATCTAAATTATACTGGATTTGGGGTGCAGAACTCCTCTTACAGACATTTGTATACATTCGGTTCAATTTCTTTTCAAAGCCAAAAAGTTGTGCCACTGAAAAAGGAGAGTCAGAGCTACCTAATTCCAGTGGCTGCTGGCTGGAAGACATGTATGTGCCTTCATTGCATTTCATTTCTGTTTCAGACAACTGAAGGGAGTTCTCAATCAGAAGGTGCAAATGAAAGCATCAGCCATATGAATGGAGCTGCCTGCAGACAAGAAAATGGCCTTTATTCTAAAAAATGCTCACTGCCAAGTGAAACAATAAGAACATGAAGAAGGAAAATTTCCTCATTCAGTTTGAATTTGTGTCCGGATTGCTTTTGAGAAGAAGAGTGCAGTAGTCAGAGTCCTGTGATCTGTTTGAAGCCTAGTCCTACCTTCCATAAGCTGATTGAATTCCTATTAGCTTCAGTAGGAGTTTAAAATACTTTTTCAAAGAAAGACATGAACGACAACTGCACCATGTGGCTTGAAATCTAGATGTGACAGAATGGACAAGTGATACATAAATACCTTGGTGCTGATGGCAGGTTTGGCATAGGTACACAAACTCAGTGAAATCTGTTCATTTACCTGTGTTACACAGAATCTGAATTGCTTAACCATACAAGCAAATGCCAGTCCTATTAAAGTTTAAAATTATATGCTTAACTTGCTATTTTAACAATATTTTAAATTTCAATATTTAATATTGAGATGTTAATTACTTCCCATGTTTTAATGGCTGAATTCACAAAACAATGCTTGAGAGAGAAATCACTGTTATCTTCCAGTGTAACCCTAGGTCCTATGGACCATATTCCCAGCTAATGTAAATTGGTGTAGCCTTGTTAATGTCAACAATGTTCTATCAAGAGTCTACCACTGTGTGTGTAGAGACATGATGTTTATGCAGGGTGTTCTCACTTTATGTGCAAAGAAAATTATGAATCTGGATCCTAATTTTCTATGGATAAAGCAACTTTTGTAAAGATAACTATTTATATAGAGTAAGAATTTTTCTTTTTTTTCATTTTTTTTTTTTTACCAGAAAGTTTATATGTTGAACCCTCTCAGTCCAAAATATATGCAAGTAGAATATATGTCATTTGAGACACACTGATTGATTGAATTTAACCTGAGGGTCTCTCAAAATGAGGTTCCTGGGGACAGCCCAGTTTGCATTCGCATGGATCTTAGTTGTTTTGATCCTGTTGTAGCAGTGCTGCTACTTTTTGTCAGTGGTGACGAAGTCACATGCCAATTGCATGGGATCCTGACACGTGAATAGCTATGCTAACGTCTGACAGATCACTAAAATGAGAGGACCACTGCACAAACATTTGTGCTGCAGATATTTTAGACTGACTTGTCAGTGTTAAATTTCAGCGAGAGTACACAAGACCTGCTTCTGTTTAATACATGTACAACTCCATGCTATAGAAGATACTAGGGGCTTTACAAATGGTTTGTACTTCAGAAAAAAAGGACAAAGTATATTTATTTCCACTTCAGTTTTAATACCCTGAGTTCTGCTGTTTTGTGATTGCTGCTAATGACCCTACTGATATGTCTGAAAATTGAGCACCTTATCTAATTTCATGTTTTCCACAGTTTGCTATATTAATATTGATGTTTGTGGTATAACGTCTTCCACCATCTTCAAGCTGGCTTATTTTCTGTTTCATTATCCTTGAATAATTCTTCCATAAAATAAATCTCTTCTTATTTGTAATTATGATTTCCCCCACAAAGAGGTTTTTTTTGGTTTAATTTTATTCTTCAGTAACACCTATTTGATGAGGGAAGTAACTTCAGTTTTGGCTGGAGGTTGTCTCCATGCCAAAGCAGAACTGTGTTTCTTCAAGGTCTTATATGGCCCTCAGCTGCTGGCAGGTCTTAACTTCCAAGCCAGATGCTGCCTCAGCTGCCACAATTCAGCTCCTGCTAGCCCTGCACCAGGAAGGAAGACATAAGTCTTTCCCAACATGAAAATACACAAAGACCTGAAGTCAAAATAATTTGGTATGTGTCCAAAGGCACGGTTTAGATCAGTTCCTGTATGGAGTGCGGCTGCTTACTTATTACACCTCATCCGCTGCACAGAGCAGCAGCAGCACTTCCCAGCAAGCAAAAGCTTGTACAATTGATTGGAAGGGTTAAGCTCAAAGAGACCCAGACCACCAGTTGTCTACATGGTCTATGGCACTGGCTGTTGTGGCTGGTCATTAACATTTAAGTTTCAAAAGCATGCCAAAGAACGAAAAAATAATCCAATTAGCCTAAATCTGGGGGGAGGTGAAGATTAAAACTTCATAAACACAAGGGGCCTGTTCCTCTGCCTCTACCGTACCCGTGTCTTGCTTCTGCATATGCTTGAAATAAATGGAGCAATGATTGCTCCAATTTTCTAGTGTTTTTCACCCAGTTTCTGCTTCACAAGTTAGTATGCAAGATGCAAGTTACCTAGAACAACGGTCTTCTATCTTCTTTAAAAAAGAGAGGCTATCGATTCTATGATGCAGGCTAAAAAACTCCAAACACTGTTGTTTAATTAAAGGAGTCAATCCAACGGTTACCAGGATTAGAGCTGGATGTACTAGATTCACTATATCATTGTTAATGTTCCTGCAGTATCTCAGGGTCCACCTGCAAGATACTGTGAAGGGCTTAAAAGAGACTGACTAAAGAATGGGAGAGTGGAAGCAGAAATAATTAAGGTTAACTTAGAGAAAGTGGTTCCAGTCAGCTGAATTGATCAAATATATTCCCTCCACTGAACAGGCAAGGCTTTTTGCCCCTTTCCAACAGTTCCCCTTCTTTCTACCTCTCCTCTCCTGCCTGTGTAATTGCTGGTTTAGCCATGTGGTTCAACCTCCACCCTAGCCCTTACATTCATCAGAGGTCTCTGTAAGCCAGTTCAGCTAACTAACCTTGCAGAAAGAAATAATCCTTTTTTTCCCCATCAGTTTTCTGCAAGGCTGATGAACAAACTCATGGAGGAGGCCTGAGCCTGCACAGGCCATGCAGCAGGAGGAAGAGATGGTGGGGCGAGGGAAAGGCAGCACTCAATCCCAAAAAGGCATCACACACTAGAGTTAGTTACTTTTATCTTCACTTTAGCTCATAATCCTATTGGAAGCTGAGTCAAGGTAATTTTATTGCATTCTCATAGTTTACCACTGTTTTGATCACTTTTATAGGTTATGTTTAAGACTTTCAAGCAAATAGACTGGTTAAATCAAGGGGAAAAGAGAGTGCTTGCTGTGAAGGCTAATGAAGGAGTGACTCTGAGAGTCTCAACCCACTGCCAGTTAAGTCCCCTACACAAAAGCAAGCAGGACTGAACCTGTGAGGAGTCAGAAAGCTGCGCTTTAGACAGCACTGTTCTAGGAAGAAGAATCAGGATCTAAAGGTGCCACGTCAACACACCACTACCACTGAAATGCCAGGGAAACAGAGCATGCCACAGGCCCATGTCTGGGTGAATAAGCCACAGCCTTAGCTCCATTAAACATTGCAATGGGAACACATTAAGTAGAAGAATCATGCAGGAATATTATATGTTGTCTGTGACTTTTTAGATATATGGTTTCCTAGACAAACAACACAGTCTTACCAGAAAATATGTTTATAATCTTCACAGCTGCTAAGATCAGTGGCTCTGAACTGACAGACAGCACGGACACAGCAAAGTCCAGAAGTGAAAAGTTCCCTGAAGAAGCAAGCTGTGACGATATAGGATAAAAAATGGGAGGTGAATGAAAGGGACTAAGGGACAGGCCTGAAACACTTCTTTTATATTTACCAATGCAATCTTCAATGCATTTCTGTTTAAAAAAATTAATCATTTGCAAGCAGAGCAAATTAGCTCATAACAGCAGAAAGGTTAGTTTAAATTTCCAGGTTGCTCAGTGATGACTTGAGAAGGTGTTCTAGTAGTATCCATTTTCAACCTGGACTTGGCCTGTGCTGCTGCCATCCAAGCTCTGGCAGAAGGATTATGCAAGGGAAGATAATGTCAAATGACTGTGACAGGATTTCCCTATCTCTGCTACCCATACAAATTTGCATTTTCCCACCTGGACCATTGGATTTTGTTGTGCCTGTGGTTCAGCAGAAAAGATGAATTAGAAAAAACAAGTTATGCTTTTACATTTCTCACTGACTTGTGTTGTCACTGGACTGTGTCATGTCATCTGTAAAGGCTTCAATTTCCAGAGATGCAGGGTATCTTACAAAGGCAGGACTCTTCAAGATGATATTTTATAAGGAAACATATTTGGACCTAAGACCCTAGATACAAAGCACCAAAAGTTTAAAGCCTTCACTTAGCTTCACAACTCAGGATCAATCTGCATTAAGCAAAACAACCTCCAGTCTCTTCCCACCTCTGCTCACAGCCATTCATGTGTGTTAGGATAAACACTGCTCAAATATCTCAATAACATACATTTAGAACAATGTGGAATTAAAAAAAGGAAAAAGTAAAGGAAGTGGAAGGGGAAAAACATGAAGAAATGTGTTTCAGTACAGCACTAAAGGTTGCTAAAGCTCTTTAATAATAGCCCAGGCAGAAAGTCTTGTAACCACATGAAATTCTGACATCTTTCTGTCTCTGTTTACTTCCATGTATAAAAGTCACTGTAATAACCTTCATTATGTTTTTTAAAGGTTAATCACTGTATCAGGCACAATCATAATTATATAGCACTGCAGATCACAGAGTAAACTAGCTTAATTTACTTATTTGCAGTTACCTCTTCTTATTCCCTACTTGCATGTGGCTTTGTCAGGAACTAAAGCCCTATGACTGCAGTACAAAGAGACCATTTATGTGAAATATAATGAAGCAATGGAGAGACACAAACACAGAACAACAGGAAAGTCAGCAGTCTGGCTAGCATCTCCCAGGAAGCCTAAAGACCTGTAAATACATTTTCAGCTGGCACAGGTCACTTTTTTTAAGCAAAAAGAAAGCTTTTGGTCTCCATGACTTAGTTTTGTCATTCTAGTCACAAAATAAGACATGAAAGGAGTTCATCTGGAAAATGTACTACTAACACGCTCCACTGGCTTGCTCTTGAGAACAAAGATTTCTGTTCACAGTACTTAGAATTAGCTCTCAACTAAGTTAGATTTATTCTACTTTCTACTAGGCAAGACACAGATCATACAAATCATAAGTAAATTGAACTATAAGAACAGACTGTATTTTGCACATTCACCTTTGAAGAGCACCATTATAGTACACGAGACCTACAAGTCTTTGTTAGACAGGACCAGAGTCCCTTCCAACTTATGTATGTATCTATGCAAAAATAATCACTGCATTTAATGCTGCTTTCTGTACTCACAGCCAAATGAGGACATGATTACAGGCGGTGAAACCCCAGTGAAAAAATTACTTCTAGAGTAAGCTAGATTTGATTGTTTATTTCTGACATAGATTGTAAATATCATAAATATCTACCAATAAAGATGGCATCTTCGCTCTTTTCTCTCACAAGAGAAATTGCAGAGTTACATACCCATGAGCATCGTATGAAAACATTAACTCACAAATGCACATGGCTTCATATGAAGTCCGTAAGACTTTTCCTTCATGCCCCTATTTATTTGTTCCCTAAAACCTGATGAGAACCCTGTTCTCCTTTTACTACACTTAACCTACACTATAAATCTTTGCCCACTTTGGATTTGTGAGTGGGAGGATGGTGCACACTGGAAAACATGCTAAAAAAGCACTTTGTATTGCATGCCTCCCATGGGACAGCCAAAGTACCAAAAACCTTCGTGTGCTGCTGGGTACCCACCTCCAGGTAAATGTACTGTTCTATTTTCTCTTCCAACATTCCTGAAGTTATCAAACATCATCTTCTTCCTCCTTGTCCCTCAAAAGGTTTGGCAGCTACTGACAATACTGCCTTCTCTATAAACTTGCTATTTTACATTCCAGAAGAACAGTCCAGAAGAAAAAATAGCTATTTATACAGGGATTTCTTCTATAAATTATATGTGTGCATGTAAATTATGTATATAGGGGTCTGTCTGTTTATCTTTTTCTATATTTATAAACACTTATTGATGCATGTATACAG